TAAAAATTACATGATATTTGGGACTTTCCAAGCAGTTTTGCTGAAATAATAATCAGTTCCATTTGTCTGACTTTTGTCTGATTTTATAGAACACTCATAAAGCCTTGCTGAACCTTCATTAAAAGACTAAATCATCATCTACCCCTTTTCATTTATTTTTGTGCTTTTCCCATTACAGCACATGGATTCGGCTATAGTTTTCTCTGCATAGCTTGTTTGTTTCACATAGATACTGACATACTTTACCAGCAGCCGAAGAGAGTCCGTCTGTACTGTAGATACACAACAGGATAAACAATAATGAAGTAATGCCCAGGGATATAAACGTTCAGCTAGCAAACTTGTATTTGTGAGGTTATATTGTATCATTAAAGGACTCTACACGTATACCTCCCGCAAAGTCATTCATTTTAAGGGCCCACCACACTACGTGGCTGTCCCATGACGCACAATGCCCATTTTGGGCTACCACAAGCCCTGGCATCAGAGCTAGCACTTACACAGTTGTATTCCAACTCTAATTTCAGAAGACTTTTCCAGATCCTTCAGCAGAAAGTGAACACATCTCACTTTCCCTAGCTGCATACTGTATAAATACAGTAACATTCTCATCTTTAGAAAGACTGAGTGTTAAAGAAGAACTGTGACAGAACTGGGCAGTCAGAAGGTTCTACTGGAATGATTGTGTGCCAAAGAAGAAACTCATTTTGTGCTCCTGGTCAGAAAAAAGCATTCTCAGATACCAAAACAGAAAACAAGTCCAGCAGACATGGTCTTCAAGGACAGTAATAAATAACACGTTCTGGAAGATAAAAAAGCAAACCCATTACTCATGTTTCATGGCTATAAATGAGTGGAGATTAGTTAAGATTATAATAATTTAATACTGATATATCCATCAGTGGTTGTTGGGGAGCCTTACTGATTTTTTGGATCTTTTGGAATTGTTGCTAAAAGGACAAATACTGTATAGAAAGAGTGACTGTACAAAACATCAAACAATACTTGAATGGTTTAAAACACTAGGTTTCATTTGGAAAAAAATATAGTGAAAAGTACTACTGTGAGAGCTGCATTCAGGTTTCCCAAATAAATTGCTATATTTTTAGAGTACAAAGTAAATACAGTTAAACTACTGGTTACTGAGTTTTCCTAGGTAAGCAACTTGTTTCCCAATTCACAAACAACCCCATGTACTACTTTAACGAGGCCTACGGCCAGTTTGTTTGCATGCTATGGACATGATGTTCATTCCAGAACATATCTTAGCACCGAAGACACAGCAGGACTGTCTGTTGGATAAGAGAAATGAGATGGGTTACCCCAGAATATGAAGAAAGCCTATAATTTCTCTCAGACTGTAATTAAAGCCAAGGGTGGTTATTTTTGATGAAAGCTTGATTTATGGAAGAGGGCTGGCTCTCATTTTCAGGAGTGTCCAGAGAGGCAGACAAGCTGTGCCTGGAGACAAATCAACAATGCTCAATGTTATCCACGGATAGAGAGCGTCCCGTAGGATTTATATTTTAAACCTCTGTGGGACTGGCACAATAGGAACTAGGGTTAAACTGTTCTGTGCTCTGTGTCACTTTTGAAGACGTTTTAGGACATTTAGATCACATGTCAAATTACCACAAATCTCTGCAGCAGAAGAGATGTGCTACAGAGGGCACATGCTTTATCCAGTCAGGTCTTGGCAGAAGCTACTCTTTTAGTCCTGGGCTCTTTAATGATGGACATCTGCTGAAAGCAAGGACACAGAGTTCTGGACCATGAAGGACGTGTTGACAAAAAGGCCTGTTTCTGATTTCCATTAACCACGTTTTAATCAAATTGCACCCTGCAGACATTCGATTCCTTAAACTGTGAGTTCAGCACCTTTTCCATGTTGGCCGTGTCCTTTGGCATGATTTGAGGACATGATTAAGAATCCAGGACAATACTTTTTTAAGATGAATTAATTCAGACACTCTAACAGCCACCAGCTTTTCTGTTACCATGTTTATGGTAATACCAGGAAATTAATACTCACAATGACAGACAAAAACAAGGACCTTTCTGCAACAGGAAAGACCTCTACAATACCGGAATTACAACACAAGCTGTTTTTTATTTGTAATTGCACGGCAGCAAAAGTGCACAATGGACAAATCAAGGTGCAACTGCACAAACTGGAAACCACAAACAGTGAAAAAAAATGATACTTGGGACTAAAAATATGTGAAAAAGACTTGCCTGGCAGGGGTCGCAGCCATTTTTTCAATTTTCTTTTTCTCTTTTTTTCTCTCCAATCATTTATTCTTTTGCTCTGATGTCCATCCATTCCACAGACTGGTGTCCCAGCTGGTAAAATCATGAAGCTTCTTCAGTATACCTACTCTAGGTATTTATGCTCCAGTATACTCTAATATATGTACTGCAGTATTATTTTTATACAGTTAACATTACCATTTTATAGTAACATCAGTAGATTTCTCTGTATTTTTTAATGAAATATTAAATGTGCTTTGTGAATTCTTCTTGTGCACACTCAGTTGACACTTGCCATTAAAAATTGCAGTTGTGGCATAATATTTGAAAGTATGTACCATAATGCTTAATCATCACATCAGATATTTGCAGAGCAAAATCGTTTGCTTCTTTCATACCCTGCCTGGCAGCTGACTTTGTAGAGTCTTTCCAAACGTTATTTCAGCTGGAACACTTTGTCAGTATGACAGCTGAAGCAGAGAGCAACAGAGTCATGCAGATTGTAGAAAGTAAAAGACAGAAAAGCAGAAGATAAAATCTGAAATTTAAGATGAAAGGACACAAATACTAGTCCTGCAAATGTGACTGGGTGAACATTATTGTTAGAAACTGTATTCCACTGTCTGTAGGATACACTTGGGAAACGTTTTTTTATCTCAGTGGGCTTCTTCTCAATAAAACATTTTGATGAATGAAAAACAGGAACACTGAAGAAGAACAGGCCATAAAGCACAATATAAGAAGAGGCTGGAAGCTGTCTGGACTCACGCAGATATCAATATTTAGATAGTAAGTACTTTACAGAGGAGTTAATTGCTAAGGTCATACTTTTTTCACTTAAACCGCATAGAGCATTTATAGCACATCTGCTTCCCTTAATGCCCCTATCTGCTGCTGAAAGCAGCACCAGCACAAGCAGCTGCATTTTACACAAGTGGTTTTTAAAATCCACTTTTAAGCTGGAAGTGTACTTCCTGTTCCAATTTCTTTTAGTCCAAACACATGGGTCATTCAATGGTTTACATAGTCTTTCTGAAACAGTGAAGAAGATTTCTACTTGTTGAGAGAAATGGCATGCATTTTGAGAGAAATGAGAGAAAACCGCCACGCAGGTTTTTCATCTGTCTTATATCAAAATAAAATCCACAGAACAGAAACACAAGGAAAGTCGTGCCAATTGTGGAGTTGCACTATTGAATCTTCTTTATAACATAATTTCAACATCAACATTATACAAGTAATCCACACACAGCCTGGAACCAGGTACTGCACCATGGACAATGCTGACGTGCAACTACCTGCATAACCCTGTGTCTTCTCACGTTTATCTCACACTGTCATACACTGCCACACATTCCTATACAGGTTCTTCTCTCCCACCAGAAGACTATGAGACTGTTGTAAATATGTCACTCATTGACAAATCATGATTTGCAAAGCCCTAGCACAGATCAATTTCTTATGCTTACCTTCATCCTCTAGCAGGCATGGTGGTTTCAGAGACTTAAATTTAATGGATTTACACATCCATCACATATCCAAGAGAAGTCTCTTTACAATGAGAACATTAGTGTAAATTAACTACTGTATGAGGGGCTCAACCAGAGATCAAGCTGAGCTCAGTAATTCCAGGTTCGAGTCAGGGTTTTGTCACTAGCCGACTGTGACCAAGACTGTTTGAGCTCTCTTCAGAGTAGGATAGGGATAGTCGCCTAGGAGTGTCTCGTGTTTTGGGGATTACAGCTGGTCCTCTGACCTCTCGGGCACTTGCAGGCTGTGGTGCTGTTAGGGACATGTTCTACTTCAATCACTGCTAGATGTCCTGTATAGCCTGGGTCATGTTAAAAGATGAGTGGCTGAAAGGTGGGAAGGGATTGTAGCTACGATTATGAGGCGATTATAAATTGCATGGGTATCTCACAAAAATACCCGGTCGTTGTAAATTTCTGAAAAAGATGCATTAGTTTACTATAGGGTGGCACTAACCCTACAAAATATAAAAACTGTAAATATGGATTATTTGCGGGTGGCATGGTGGCGTGTAATTAGCATTGTTGTGGACACTGGGTTAAGTTCCTGGGTGAGATCTGCTTGGAGTTTCTCTCAGTTTTCACATGGGTTTCCTTTGGGTGCTTTAGTTTCCTTCCACAGTTCAAAGACAAAATGGTAGGTTAACTGGATTCTGGGAAAATTAGCCTTGGTGTGTGTTTATGTGTGCCTCGCGATGGACTGGGTTCCTGTACAGGGTGTATCCTGTCTTGCTTCTGCTCTTTGCTGGGATAGGCTCCGGCTACCCCACAACCCTATATTGAAAAAAGAGGTTAGAAAATGAATGGATTCATTATATACAATTTACTGTAGTCTGGAAGTAGCAATAACCAACCTAGAGAAACTAGTTGTTTCTATGTAATTTAATCAAGTTAAGGGGGAGGCTAAAATAATGAAAGTCTCAACATGAAGACGAATTCTTCTCTTTTTCCCCATTCACTTTTCCCAATGAGTAGGCTTAAGCCCACATTTCTATTACTATTACAGTGAAATGCTCCTCTGGTCCTTGAGGGCTGCAGTGCCTTCTGACTCTCATTCCACCTGAGTACTAAATGACTTGTTTTGATTCAAAATGAACTTCTGGTTCCAGGTTGGTAGCCACTAAGGATTTGCTGTTTACCGTGAAACCTGGTGGCTCTCCAGAACCAAGAGTTAAAACTGGTGTATGGTGGTGACGTCTCTCTTTGTCCCCGGTCTTACAGCCAAAGACGGCGCTGGGCTGACAGACTCCGAACTGCCCTCGAGCGCTGACCCTGCAGGCATGGACAGCAGCTACCTCAGCGTGAAGGAGGCCGGGGTGAAGGGGCCCCAGGAGCGCCCTGGCTCCGAGCTGGGCAGCCCACTGGACAAGGGCGAGGGGGAGAGCAACAAAGGCAAGAAGAGGCGCAACCGGACCACCTTCACCAGCTACCAGCTGGAGGAGCTGGAGAAGGTCTTCCAGAAGACGCACTACCCCGATGTCTATGCTCGGGAGCAGCTGGCCCTGCGCACAGACCTCACCGAGGCCCGCGTGCAGGTAAGAGCAACGTCACTGATGGCACAGGGTAGGTGTGCCAAGAAACACGCCATCAAGCTCTGTATTTTCACGCGGTTCTCCTATCAGAATCATAGGATCTCATGGTAAAGCCTTCATTTTAACATAGACAAAATTCCAGTACATCCTAATGCACAGTTACTCCTCAATAGCCTTGAGAGAGAAATCCATCAGTCTGATTACCAAAAATACAGTGGAGGGAGAGCGCATTAGGGCTTAACTCTACCATTTGAATTTCACCCTGATTTCCTGGACTCAGCCTAGCAGTGCTAAAAGAAAGACTTCACTGAGTGGGAAACCAACCCCTTTCGCTGACCCCCCCTCCCCAAGTTTGACGTACATCTGCCCCTCGCTCACTCTCAATCCCAGTTTAGACAGACAGGCAATAAGCTGATCCTGAGAGGCTCTCCAACTCCAAAAGCCTGTGGCTTTGCAGTGTTTGTCTTTCATTAATGCACCACCAAGGGAAGAACCCGCACATCGCTTGTTTCAGAAGGAGAGGCTGAATGGATAGTGGACAAGTGAAAAAAGGCACTGAACCTGCCCTAAGCTGCCTTTTAAATTTTAAGCACAGAAACATAATTCTTCACAGCGTATATAACATCAAGTTTCCTTTTAAATCAATCATCAGTGAGAAGCAGTGTGCTGATACCCAATGCAAACACAGACATCATGCTGTTTTAGGACGCCTGCCTCCCCCCAAATCACTATAAAGTCTGATTTATCAAAACACAGTGGGAATAGCTAATTCATTTTCTGAAATTCTAAAAGGAAACACAACCACTCATTTTCACGCTTACCATGAGCTTCAATAATCCAAAGCTTTTTTGTTACAAATGCCTAGTCACAGAAACAGGTTTTCTCTTCTTCTGCAAGTTACAGAGAGTCCATTGAAGAAGAGGGCTCTGCTTTGAATTTCATGCCTTAGAAATGCAGCTAAGGGTCAGAGGTTAAGCGCTTTGGACAATGTCCTGTCACTGGTCTGGCTACCCTGCTTGAACACATTTAAAAAACCTTAATGTTGAAATTATTGGACTGGGAATAAGACCTGCTTTGAAAAGCCGCATTTCATGTGTAGTCTGGTACACACAATTGTGCCAAAGCACCTGGGCCACTCTTTAGAAGTTTAATACCTATATTCACACAGATAAATGATTTGTTCACGCAGATGTCATTCATTAAAAGGGTTTTTAACAGTAAAATGCTCATTTTTAAAAACATATCTTATTACGGAAAGAGTCTGCTGGTAGATTTTAAAAAACAGCCTTTAAAATGGCTTTACTGACTCATTTCCTAAAAAACCAAACATGGCCCTGGACAACCTAAACAACGTTCATCCTATATCTACTTCAATTTTTTTGCAACAATTTTAGAATGTGCTGTTGCAATACAATATAACAATCACCCCATTGCTAATAACCCCTTCAAACCTTGCCAATCTGGTTTCAGACAGTTACACAGCACAGAAGCTGCCCTTGTTAAAGCCATAAATGATCTACTTATGGCAAATGATTCTCATTTTCTATCCTAATTTTCCTAGACCTAAGTGCTGCTTTTAACATTGTTAATCATGACATTTCACTCTCCTGCCTTGAGACTGTTTGGAATTTCTGACATGGAGAAATGGAGCAACTTTTATCTTACCGATCACCAACATTTTATGTCTCTTGGGGGTTTTTATTGTGAAGTTGGGTTCGTTAAGCCTAGAGTTCCCCAAGGCTCAATACTGGGTGCCCTGCTATTCAGCATTTCCATCTTCCCACTTGACCAGGTATTAAAATCACATGGCCTGAATTATAATTTCTATGCTGATGATACTCAAATCCATGTCCTAACTAAACCTGAGACCTCACTACAACTGCAAAGAGCCAGATTCACTACAATTTGAATGTGCAGTTCGTCTCCCATTATTACTTCATATAATTACATTTCCCATTTCATCAGTGCAGCTTTATAAAAAAGTACAGAAAATGGAATACTTCTCTGCCTTTATAACTTCTACAGTGATCTGTTCTCTAAAATATTTGGCCTTTTCTGTTCAAAGCCCCATTTGCTGGAGAGCTCTGGAGCAGAAACACTAAACCGCTCTCTCTCAGACAGAGGCTGCAAGTCTGAGCAGGAGTAGCTCGGCCGCCACTCTCCCCTCTCGAGGTTCCAAGGGGGCAGCGTCGGAAAGCCAGGGGCTTAAGGATCAGGAAATTAAACATGAAATGAAAACAAGCTCCAGTTTTGAACAGTCTCCCATCTCGCTTTCCAATTTCCCAACTTCCCCCTCTGATGTAAAAAAGAAGGAGGAAGAAAAAAAAGAAAAGAGGAACCCGGTTTCGTCTTTCAACATTTGAATCCGCGCTCTGTTCCACATTAGAGAGACATGTCACCTACCTTGCTGACCGCTTCCCATCACCCTTTGCTAGCTGGTCCAGACGCCAGTCCACCTTCAGGGCACTGATCTTTCAATAACCAATTTTATACAGTATGTATTCACCCACTGTCAAATATTGGAGTATCACAAAGACATTTTTTAAAGTTGTAACTGCAACACGTGGATAAACTAATGGTGTATGGCGATCTCAACACAAAAACATAGAAAAACAAAAACTTTGGAGCACTAAATTCATATGCCTAGGTTCAATTCTTTGAGACAAAAAGTTTTATCCAATGACTTTACGTGCTTTCATACTAAGCTCAAACCTAGTGAGTAACGTGACACAAAATACACAGGCAACTTTAGTGTAGACCTTGTGTGAACAATGTATTGCTGTTTTGGGAATTGGAAAGTATAAGTATTTTGTTTTGCATGCACCAGTCTCCTTGTTGCACACATACAGTTTACTGAAAGTCACAGTCATATCCTGTCTAAAGAACTTGTTTCTCTTTTATTTGCTGTGAACATCAGGCTGTGAATACCACACTTCATAAACAAATAACTAAAATGTATTCAAGTCTAAATAATAACGGCAGTTAAACTCAACTTAATATACTTAACAGTGAAGTACAGGACAGTATTTTGAGCAATGAATTTCAAGCCAGTCTGGCTTATCCAATATCAGGTTACACATTTGCAGAGATAGATCTTCTGACATCTGTGCGGCTAAATTGTGGAATGCCTTGCCTAAATCCATGCGAGACTCAGCCCCTATTTAGATAGCTGGACAACTTTTTCTCAACGGTCTACAACAATTTTATCATAGCAATACTTGCAATAAGTATCAGGGAACAACTGTTTTAAATGCACATGTCGAAGGTAATTACCTGGAACTTTTATCATGTAAAAACTGCTTTATTCCTTTCAGATAACGGGGGGCACTCTCTGGCCTCATTCTTAAATAGAGCCTTTCAGAGTCTGTTAGCATTTTATTTTTAAAAATCGTTTTAAGACATTTCCCCCCACAGAGACCATTTTCCATTTTCTGTATTTCCTGCTCTGCTCACGATTACTCATCCACCTCTAGTATGTGACGTGTGGCTTCATTAATTCACTTGGATTAATTGTGCAGCTAAAAATACAGAAAAATCAAACAAAAAGGGAAATAACATGTCATTGATTGTGATAACCACAAACCAGTGGGGTAAAAATCCATTGGCGATCCAAGATTACACTCTGCAGCGAACAAAGAAAGGATGCCTCTTTGTTTTAAAGGATGTAAAAGTCTTAGCACAATTCAAAGCCTAAAATAATAAATGATAAAAGAGAAAACAAAACTTCTGTAATGAATACACAAAAGGCAACTTCAACAGATGAATGTATTTTCTGCAGTGTTGCCTTTTTTTACTATCCTAGGTTACTAAGTCCTTCAAATAACTTCCAATATAGTATCATAAAAGACATTTCACATTAACAGAAGTAGTTACTAGTGTGAGTGATATATGCAGATGGATTTACAAACCCTACACATTTGATGGACAAGCATAAATTCAGGCTGTAGAATGGAACTTCCTTGATCTGCTGTGTTACTACAGTATGTGCTTGTCCCAGACATTGAGCTTCATAGGGCTACAGCACATAAGAGTTAAATACCATTCTGCTTCATACGGAAAGAATAAAATAATTTGCAGTGCTCTTGTGCAAGAAAAAAGAGGTAATAATTATTCTGTTTGTAAAAAAAACTATCTAAAAATATATAACCCTGCCAGTTTACACATCAGGCTATAAATCCTCCAGTCGCCAATGCTTTTAACTCATAAATTAATAAAACTAATTAAAATGTGGGTGCTCTAAGAGAGAGCAATGAAATAGTGAAGCAGCTGTTCTCAATGTGATCAAACACATGTTCCACATAAAAATCAAAGAACAAAAAACTAACACTTTCAATAATTTGTATTCAAGATTGGGTTGGATTGTAGAACTGTAGATCTAATCCAAAACATTTACCAATCAAATCTACTTGACCCAATGTCATCATTAACATCATTTGTTTCTCTCTACACACTCATAAAAATAAAACATTACTTTTTGCAACATTAAATTCAGATGTTTCAAGAATAAAATTAGCAAATTTAGTAGATCATCATAGAATCGTTCATCATAAAGGGGGATACAAACTACGTTTTTCTAAGAATTTTCCCTGCAAGTTACCTGAAATTATACTTAAATAAAATGTGAATAATATGGATATTTTCTGTTTTGCCAGAAAGAAGGTCACTGCACCATCTTCACATTTGAAAATTTGAACGGATCTCTCTGTAATATTATGCATTAGGTAACACAATCAGGAGCATTTATTCACTACATACAAAATGACTATTTAGAACAATAAAACTACTTGTGTTAGGTGTATGAGAACTGATATCAATTTTATAAGACAAGCTAAACATTTGTCAAAAAGGTTTAGCAAATCTAAAAATGTTTTAATTTTTCATTCAATACAATTTACTTTGTTACACTGTTACCTTGACTCAAGTGAGCTCATTCTCTAGAAGGGAACTGATGTAAACGTTGCCTGTCAAGACAGTACACTTTATCCTTTAGAGAACAGTAATTTGAACTGCTCAACGTACAATATACAGTACTGGTTACTGACAAGGTGAAGTCTTGCTGGATCATTTCTCGTCTCCCGGCAACCTTTTACGTATCCCCATGGCGAGCTGAAATCAATCTTCCGTTGGGTCCTCTGTGCTTTCAGCCCTGTAGTTTGAGGCGGACTGATGGGAGACAGTAAACAAATGCAGCCAACCTGCAGGAATCGGCTTTAGAGTACCTGTCAGATTTCTGCAGCTATCACTTCAAAGCTAGTCAGGTTTTACTTGCGTTCTGTGTTCAGACATTTAAGCCAACCCCCCTCCTCCAAATCACTTCCTCCTCTCTCACAGAGGACTGGGTTCCCCAACAGGTCGGCCTTGAAGTCTTGAGGCTGTCCAGCACCAGGCTGCTTGTGCAGAGAGGCCCTCTCTCAGGATTTCATCTGCTACGCTTTCTGGCTCATAAAAAGTGCTGCTGAAACAGACCCCGCTTCCAGAGCTGGTTAAATAAATTGTTGTTTACACGTTGAATCCTACTTTGCTTCATCGCGCAGGACAAAGAGCTGAAATCTGACAGGTTATGGTTATGAAACAAGCATAGTAATACTGTATCTGCACGGTTAAAGTAAGGCATTTACAAAATCTGCCCGCAGCTGAAGGCATTTCAAGAATGATTAAAATAAAAAAATAGATTTTTGGATTGACACAGAGCAATTAATCACTATATACATCTATATTAACATATAATAGTACTTAAAGGTTGACTTGATATGATTAACAGAGGTCTATGTCTGCTGCTCCCCTCATACTCTGAAGCTGACTAATAGATCAAAAGCTCTGTTGTAAACTAAGAACAATGGTGAGTCAGTGAAAATACAGAGCCTGTGGTTCATATACAGTACAGCAGGGTAAAGGATGTGGGGTACAGATCTCTGCGATAACTCAAATGAGCCCATGGAACAGGTGGAAACTCCTCATAGGAGATATTCCACGAATTAGCTTCTGCAAATCTCAGTCAACCGGACACTGTGCCCGTGTCGTTCACGTCACATTTACTGCCCCGTCCGTTCATTGCTGTGCTTGGAAACAGACTGGCGACGCTGGCACCCCTGGCACATACTTTGCACTCCTCCCAGCACGAGACGAACTCAGCGCCGATCTCTTTCCGCTTCTCCGCGACAGGTGTGGTTTCAGAACCGCCGGGCGAAGTGGAGGAAGAGGGAGCGGTTCGGCCAGATGCAGCAGGTGCGGACACACTTCTCCACGGCCTACGAGCTCCCGCTTCTGACTCGAGCCGAAAACTACGCCCAGGTACGCCAGCCTGAAGTCTCCAGGGTGGAAAGGTGTATGCTCGCAGGCACTGAACTAGCATACTCGTTCAAAAAACAGGGACAGAAGAGTCTTTAAAGGAAAGGCCTGGACTGACACCTAGAGTATGAGATTCCACATGTACTGTATGAGAGCATCTTCAGCTCTCCTCGGTCAGAGAGGCAGCTTTAGAGCAACTCAATACACACCCATCCACCCCACTGAAGCACTTTAATATACCACGCATCTTGTTACGTTAATCCTACTAATTATCAATTAAAGAAATGACAAACCAGTGTTTCTACATTCAACAACAGTGAAGAGCAGAGGCTAGAGGATGCATCAGGACTGCTTAAGAGAATAAGATCTAGGAGTAAGAAGAAGGTGGTTCCTTCAGGTCTGATTTTTCAGTACCTTACTATTTGAAAGTCTGAACCCTTAGCCATTTCTTCTCAGACAGGCCAGTCTGATGGCACCCATACAAAGAGCTCAGTAATTCTCAGCTACCTGCATCTTTGAAGGCTTGTCACCCTAAATGACAGCATCCTACACTCTAGTATGGGCCTTGAAGAAGCAAGGTAGACAGTACTTCCAAACTAGGAAAAGAGAGATACAGGACAGATTAGAAAGGTTAGAAAAGAGCTAAGTACACCAAATGCAAGGTAAGAAATTTAACTCGGTAAGCTTCAGTATGAAGCCTTTAATTTCTCAGTTCTCTGCTGGCAAATTCATGGGTTTTTCTAGGGGAGGAATCCAGGGCTTAGTAGTACAGTATGGTCCCAGGGTGAGGAAAAGCTGTAACAGGTATGGTGAAGCAGAGTCCTACCCAAAAAGTATTGTTAAAAGCCAGACAATCCCAGATTTATTATTATCTTTTTGTTTTTACAAACTAATCTAGGACTTTGCACAGTCTAATTCCAGAGTCAGAAAAAGCTGTTGCAGGCATGGCGGTGCAGGGATATAGCCTCACTTCACTGTAAGAGCCCAGAGGATCCCAGGTTTATTATTAATTTGCAGGGAGGTCAGAGGCCATGGGTCACTCCTCTGGACTGAGCCACAGCTGTGGAATGCATTCTTCCTTACACATCTGGGGCATCTCCCTGCACTCTTTCATCTCCCCATCACTCCCTACACCCCCACCCACCATCAGTCTCCAACAGACCAAAAAAAACAATTTTAAACACCCTCTCTGATCATAACTGCTCACTTTTAATCATATGGTGACTTGTTATTAAACCCCTGGATTGAGGAGAGAGGGGAGAGATAGCCTTGTTTCATTTATGAGGTCAGAAGCAGAGCTAATCTACTGGGTTTTCTGATCTTAAGCTTGTGGGGAAGCTGAAAAATGCCGTTACAAGTACTTTTTTTCTTTAAAAAAAAGCACAAAAAAATCCTTTGATCTCCGTTGTGCGGGCCACTTGAACATTTATGAAAGCAGAAATGCTTTCCCACTACCTGATAAACTGAGTCTCTTTTGTGCAGTTAAGTCATGTAATTATGAAGGAGTTTCTGACAGCTTTGTATTCTTGACTGTCGGCACAGTTTTTCTTCTCTCTTTCGAGGACTGGTGGAAACAGCAGCATGATAGTGCATGTCACACATCGCTGTGCTACGTGGCTAGGGGTGGCATCACCTTGTTATGGCATCTCTGCTTGGGATGCCCTTCATCCTGCAGGCGCCATTAGAAAGGTGGATTTGCCACCTGGTCTTTTCGTTTTCCCAACCCACGTTGGGAATCGCCAGTGTTGTTCTGTTGCGAGTGAGTCTCAGCTCACCAGTAACAGCTCATGTACGGTATGTACGCACCTGGGAGAGATTGGAGTCACAGACGCGCTCCTTTGGAAAGCCCGCCTGCAGAGCCACGCATCCATCATCTGTCACTTGGGAGGCTCCGCAGAGCCTGCGTGAAAGTGCAGCCAACAGGAGGAGCAGCACGCCTCTCACTGATGCCACTGGCAGCCTGCAGGAGAGTCCTTTAGTTGTGATCCCAGCCCTACTCCAGCCGTGGACTGCTAATTGTGGGCCACAGCTTGGGCAGTCCCACATCAACTAATGATACAAGCCTCACTCAGCCTGCTTCCCAAGAGAGTGGCAAGCCTGGTAACGCCACATGAGAGCCCTCAGATGGGTTACGTTTAACAACAGTTACAAACTAGATTATATTATATATTTCACTTTCCTACAGGAGTTTCCTAAAGGATTATTTCTAGTATTTTGGTACATTTGTGAATACAAACTACATGAGGTAACAGAAATTGCATTTTTTTTACTAAAACAAATTTGGTTTCCTGCAGGGATTCTATAACAACCATGACTCTTGTATGCACTCTGTAAGGAGTTAGATGATGATTTAGTCTTTGGCCTTAAGGACAGTTCATAGCTTAAGGCCTATGTTATTTTATAGTAACCTTGGTCATTTCTGTACCTTCTATGGAGTTTTAAGCTAGTTTTCACCTTCAAGTGAGGTCAAGGAAGTCACAGGCAGTGTAATTTTGGACAGATCCTATACTGATTCCTATATATCAATTACTGTAAATGCACTGTATAAGGAGTTCAAGCAACTCTACATTTTTAGAGACGTCTAAGGTCATAAGCAAGGGCATTTCTTGATAGAACATAAACAGCTTTCTGTAACTGTTCCATAAAAACAATAATCCTATGTGCACTCTATAAGGAGTAACAAAAAAGGTTAGGCATAATAAGTATACCTGAAAATTGACTGGGTCACTGTGTGGGCCCTGTTTTTTTAGGTAGCAGCCTGTCTTGATTGATCTTTATAGAGAAAGCCAAAGAAAACTTATATACCAGTTATTGTTCAAGTCTGCCATGCAGACTCAGTGTAGTCATTAGAGTGCTTTTGAAGAAATTCAATATGGCAGCCAAGCTCGAGCCTACCTGACCTGTCCTGAATGAAATGCTCTTAATCATGTGAAAACACAATTCGCCAAGTACGAGTTCTGTGGTATATTGTTTTCAGACATTATTTTAATTGAATTTTGTAGCATATAGTTTAACATAGAAGCTAAACTTTCTGGCCTGTCAGTGTAACTGTCACTCTATCATAACCCACAGACTTTAACAAACTTTGTGGGCTTTCTACCAGGGCATTTCAAAACTTCAGTAGGAGCAAATCTGAATTACAACCCCAGCGCTCCGGCTACTGTGTTGCATTGTCCCCAAATGAGCCTGTATCAGAACAAAATCTCAAAGAGATGCGTAGCTGAAAATGACCTCTTTGAGCCTAATTGACCTAACTGAGCCAGGGCTTCATGAGAACGGTTGGAAAAGTAACGCTGTTCCCCTGCAGATTCAGAACCCGTCGTGGATCGGGAGCAGCAGTGCCGCCTCTCCTGTACCTGGCTGTGTGGTTCCCTGCGACACGGTGACCTCCTGCATGACCCCTCACCCTCACGCCGCCGGGAGCGTCTCTGATTTCCTGGGCGTGCCCAGCCCCGGAGGGCACATGGGACAGACACACATGGGCAGCCTGTTCGGGAGCCCGGGCATTGGGGCAGGGATCAATGGCTATGATCTCAACACCGAGCCCGACCGCAAGTCCTCCAGTATCGCCGCTCTGCGCATGAAGGCTAAAGAACACAGCGCTGCTATTTCCTGGGCAACATGATGCACTACGCCAGGGAGCTCCTTTTAATTTAAATGAGTGAAAAGGCAATATCAGACAAAACAGAAAAGTGCTGAATCGGAAAAAAAAAAACAAATTCGAAAAAACAGATAGGCCTAAGAGACTCTTTCAGTACGTGAACTCATCCAAGGACATCTCTCATGAATTGAGAGGCTACAGATGTGAGCAAGAGATGTATGGTTTATCAACGAAGAGTTCAGGTGTCCTCGCACGTCTGAGATTAGGAGGTTGGGATACTGTAAAACAAAAAATATCCACATCCAGAAGACAAAGTGAATGTTTAAGCTTGTTAAAAGGCAACCACAATATACAGTAAACTGGCATTGTTTGGAAACAAAAGAACATCACATTTGGTTTCATGACGACGATGATGAAATCTAATGCTGTAGGCTGAAACAAATTTTGCTGCACACCACTTGCTAGTTTTGTTAAAGGTGTGAGTCCACCAAGCATTTGAAATGGGTGGCAAAAATTTTTCCTTGAAGCCAAAAAAATGTGCAGACTCTAGCACATAACAATTGGTTATCGTTTTCCCAAGGGCATTTCTTGTTTTACAGTACTGTTTCCACTTGTCTTTTCAACCACATCCTTGTCATTCACAGGGTTTGTCTTTTATTCTTTTCCTCTAGGGTGCTTGGGGCAAGGTATTGCTATACACTGAATTTATATGAATATTATAAGGCCAGTCCATCGTGTCTTTTTGCCTGGATTAACAACATCCTTTCTCACAATTCATTTTCACACATGTAACATTTATTTGATATACTGCAGTGTATAGTCCTTTCATATGGCTTCTTTTTGCAGTCTGTGTAAAAACAACTCTCAGCTTTATTCTTCTCACAGGGTTGTCTGCAATTGTGTTTAAATTAGAAAGGGGAGCAAAACCTTCAAAGTAATTGTAAACAGCAAAATCGGCTGAAAAATGTGGTAATATAAGTAAGCATAGCTTTGTCAGACCCAGTTAGTTTTGAACTTTCCTATTATACAGACAAATTGAAAAGCTTAATGAAAATGGTTTTTCAAATGGTGTGAAAAGCGCATTTGTTTTCTTTAACCCCTTCCACCCAAAAAAAGTTACATTTTCCAAAGTTAAGCAGGTACAGCCAACTGAAAAAACTTTCCATTTTAGACCATCCTACATCAGGCATTTTAAAGTCTCCTGCGGTAGATTAAACCAACGTACAATAACTTGCATGTCATCACTTCAAGGTCGTTACCTTACCACGCTTAAGATGAATTCCCCAAACGAATTCATGAGAGAATTTTCATTAACGCTGCGGACAATCAAACAACAAACGTATTTGTAAGTTGAAATGAAGTGACCTGAAACTTCACCTACTGTATGCAAAGACTTAAGTAGCAACCAAACTATGAAAGCCATGCCCAGCTAGAGATGACAGTGACTCAACAAGAAACAAAACCACCTTTATTCAGGAGGCAGGAGGTAGAGTTTGCTTTGATTGCTACGTTGTTTTCTCTTCATTTATCCCTTTGCACATTTTTTGCATTGGTTTTCATACTTCACCATAGATACTTTCTTTTGCCTTTGGAGATTTAAGAGCTGCTTGCAAAAGTTCCTTAGAACTGGTAACCAAGTGGCCCTGCTGGTTTGAGGGCGGCAGGGCCTGGGAGAATCGCACAGGCCTTTGCTGTTTGTGTGCGAGGTGAGAGATTGGCATTGATTTAAAGTGGACATGCAATTTCCTCCCCTTTCCACAGGTAATTCTCCCGGCTCCGCTCAGCAGGGCCTCAAAGGAAACACTTCACAAGCTTCAGGTTACAGGAAAAGTGTCCCCACTCCTGCAGATCTTAGCAGCCAGCAATAACACAGAGCAACCAAAAGCCCAGCCTAGCTTCATTTCAAAACTCTACCATCAGCTGCACGAAGAAACAGGAATTGTGTTTTTCTTTTGTAGACCGTCTTCCAAAATTTCCAAAAGTTACAAACTGGCAATAAATTGATGTAGAGAAAGCTAATTTTTATTATCGTAATACGTGCATTATTTGCCACAAATGAGGATCCAGAAGAGACGCCATGCCATCTTTCCAAACGGCAATATGTGATAAAAAATCATGTTCTTTGCAAGGCAAAGTCTTCACCCTCTTGAATCGGCTTGAGCTGGAAATTCATGCGCAGACAGAACTTGTGGCACAGTAAAGTTACAGAGTTTCTCAGTAACCTCTTGTTGGTTCATCTCTTATGTTGGAAAGAAATGTGTGGGCCTGATTTGGCTTGTATGTTTTGCTCTGTTTTCTTTGACTCTTCAAACATTTTCCTCAGTGTGTGAAAAGTTGTCAGAATAGTCTCTCAAGTAATGCCAAAGACAACTCGTGGGTTTAGTCTGCACTGTGGAATTGGCAGTGGGACGTATTCATTAATAGAACACCTTTCTCCATAATCCAGTCAATATGAAAGGGAAGAAATGGAGGAATACCTTCCAAGTTTAATCAAGTGGAATAATTTGGATACTTTAAGTCTATTGGGATATGGATCTCTGAAAACTTGTATTTGAAAGTGTACCAACCAATTTTTATAATTTTCTGTGCCTTCTCATGGGAAGCACCTTCTCAAAGCACTTTAAAGAGGTCCCAGTCAGATGAGAGATGAAACAGGTCTCCTTATCATCCAATTGTGTATAAAGAGGAACCTCACAATGGAACTGGAACAGACATCTTGAGCCAGTACTGGAAGATTAGTAACACTCTTTTTTGAGGACCAGAGTGTGAGGATCAGCATGGAAGCTGATGTTAAAAAAGCAGCCTCCTCTCCATGTCAAACCACGAATAACTTTTCTAAAAATATATACCTTTTACTACTGATCCACCACAAGGGACTACTTACAAATCTGAAATGGCTTGTGTGTCTTGTTGGATAATACTGGAAGTTTCACATCAAAGCTTTATATATGAAGGGGAATTTCATTCCTTAAAAAGAATAAAGAAAGGTGTGAAAGTCCAAGAAAAGCTTAAAGGGAGACATTTCTCAGTATAAGGCTGTAAAACACCAAAGGAGAACTAGGAGTCACTGACACATCTACAGGCACAGCTATGAAAAGCCTCAGGATGGTACTGGAGCCGGAGGTGAAGACTGAATTTTGAGCTGTGTTTCATTTCATTCTTGGCAACCGCCCCTGTGAAATGATTTCAAGAAAAATCTCTGCTCTGCCAGAGAGAGGATCTGGTTCCCCCAAGTCCCACTTGCTTAAGGGCTTTCCTTGGCTTCCACTTGTCCCCGCTGTGTTTCGGTCAATGGACATTATCCATATGACGCCGAAGAAGCCTCATCGCTAAGCCATCATGCCTTTTGGATCAGCACTGGCACAAGGTGACAGAAATCCGCAAACACAGAATATTTGCACAGATCTTTTTCTCACCTTTCAGATGGGGTGGGCATTCCGATCAAGAAAAAAAGAAGCTGTTCTAAATTTGAAATTGAATCTGAACCCCCCCACCACCACCACATCCTTGAAAAATGAATCCAAGTTTACAAATAAAAAACACATTCCTTCTCATTGAAATCCCGCTGGAAAACAAAAAGCTCTTTAAAAAGAGAAAGAATTGTTAGCTTGGTAATCTTAAAGGAAAAATCAAAGGTCCCTGTTTGGGACTGAGGGGTTGACTGAGAGGGCAGTATGTGAACTGTCCGCACTTTTTCCAAAATTAAAAACGAAACAACAAAGGTATCGAAACAGACAAAGCTTAGAAAACTGATATTATTTGTCAGTTTACATACTGATGTTAAAATGACAGGAAATTAAGTTTGAATAAAGTGCTTTAAACCGAGCTGCAAATACTCAGGAGCTAAGAAAAGCATGGCAAAAAAAACTAAGAAGTGTTAAAAAAAGCTAAGAAGTTTCAAGACTGCAGCGGCTCTCATTTCAGAAAAATACTCTTCTCTTTTCTCTGCAGTTTTCTAAAACTCCTGGACATTTAGATCAATCAACTTTTCTTTCACATATCCCAAAAGGAGATTTTCCTGTATTTAAATTAAATGTAATTTATATAATCCACATAATTCCCCACAGACCAGAAATTGCTTCCTCTCTCTATATTAATAATGATAACATATGATAATTCTTTCCTGTTGACTGCTCCTCATTCTCATAGACCTGAAGCTGTGCTAGATGAGTTCACTGCTATAACTAATTGCGTTTGTTACATTGGTACCTCAGCATTGAGTGCTGTTTACCTAAAAATTCCCAATGAGAAATTTGTTCTTTCTACTTTACCTGCAGTTAATCTGGAGGACATACAGAAATTTTGAGCATCCTTTCTAGAAAAACAATTAAAATAATCCATCCATCTTCTAACCATTTTATCCAACAGTACAAATAATTGAAAGCATATTGTAAGAAGACAAGCAGTAAAGAAAAAGTTGTCACTCTGGTGTCACTCACCGAAAAGAGAAAACGTTATTAGAAACTATCACGTTCCAGGTCTCTAACGCAGTGTTATTTTAAAACCTATTATTCTGTTCATTTCTGAATAGTATAATAGATTTTAAAACCTTTTATAAAATAGCTATAAAATAGTTAGACCAGCATTGACAAGATTTTATGTATAGTTTCTACATACTGGAACATTTATTGCACTGGAATAACATGATTTACCAATGACCTTAAACGTGCGTATATGTGGTAGTCTCTTTCAATCCGAAATGTGTTCGCCGCTTTTGGGAAAATTGCCTTTGAGCTTATGCCCTGTGCTAAGAAGGGCCATATGGGTTAAGCAGCCACTGTGATTCAGTGTCCTGGGAAAAGGACAGTCCACGCAGCTGCAATGAGTTAAATACAAAACAAACATCCATCACACATGCTTACCATCAGCTGTCATAGCTCCTCTTTCAAAGAATCGTCACGACCGCCAGCCCCACTCCACGGGTGCAACAACACAGCAGAATGCTGGGAACTCCTTCAGCACATGAGCCCAGATTTAAATACAATTTTTAACATTGGTACGGGGCCACCTGTGGCAAACGGATTGGACAACAAGAGAGAAAGAGCAAAGAATCTGCCTATATCCACCATGAGTAGAAATTCCTCTTCACTGCAAAGTGCCTTGGAGCAGTCACATGCAGCAATCATTATTATTCTTCTTCAAACTCACCCTGAACCATTTTTTTTTCAAATGGAAGGCATTCATTTATTTATACCGTCGCTCTCTGTCATTGCATTTTTGTAATTCATTTGACTTAAAATTTAACATATTTTAAAAAATTACCAAATCGAAGCAAACTAGTTGAGGGGCATTAAAATCATAACATCACATTTAAGATCACCTAAAATTGAAAACACATTTAAATATGATGTATAAATGTCCTTTTATTGGATGACTCCATGCTACTTATCTGTTTTTATTCCTCTTCTTAAGATGTCCACTTCTTTAGTCTCCTGCACAGTGGTAAACAGGGGGTTTAGGCTAAAAGCTTGGTCGCTATCTCGGTAACTTACACAGACTGCAGTAGGCAAATAACAGCCAAAAGCCCTCCTCCACACTCTTGTTCATTTGCAGACTTAGAGAATAAAATGTTTTGGGGTCTCGAAAACTTTGAACCCCATGCCACCTACTGTGGTGTAAGCAAGCAGAGTAAAATAAATCTTTAGAAATATGTTCAGTGTGTAGATTTTGTTTTCTTTATGTTCAAAATAATGTCTTTAAATCCAACCACACACTTAGGCTTATCACTTTCTACATAAAGAGTGTTGGGACAAAAATGTTGGCAACTATCCTGACTCCCTTTCTACCATCATCACAACTAGAGGAGGATGAGGAGGTCCTCCTGGCTATAGGGGGCGCTTTTGGCAGTCAGAGACATTAATGCAAAAGTTCACATCCGTGCCTTGGCCACCAGATAACCCCTCTCCCATCCTCTGTCCCCTTCCAGTTCTAATACTACTGAAGCAGGGCAATATGTTTTCCAGATTCATATGATAAAAGTGTATTTTTTGGTTCATTTTCATGTTTGTGTGTGTGCATGTGTGGTTTTTGTTGTGTAAATTTATTGATTTTCAGTGAAAAGACCCTTGAAACTGTAACTAATTTGTTACAAATGTAATGTATCATTTTAAGAAATTTGAAGTTTTTCTTTTTTGAGTTTTGTTTGGTTTTTTAACCTGGCTTATTAGGCAAAAAAAAACAACACAAAATGGTTTATAAATGGTAGGCTAAAAAAAGGTTTTCATGGCTTTAAGCAACCTTGTACTGCTTTTAAAATAATAGTTATATTTTTAATCCTGTTCATGTACTTATATTATTTTGTTTTATTATGCAATAAGTTATTGCACTTATCAAAGGTTTTTGCAAGTGCCATTATACTTACATTAAGACCAGATCTTTACAGAATGTAGCAAACTCCAAAAGGTGTTGTCCCAAGAACAAATACAAAATGTTTTCAATACAACACTCGGATCAGCAAAACTGTTTCTCCTGCCAAACTCCTTTCCCAGAATGCACAAATTACTGATTGCAAAAAACATAGATGGGCTCTCCACGAGCTAGCAATTACGTGCAATGTTTTTCCTCATCTTTAATTTTCATATTGTATTTGTTCATTACTGGCAAAACAAAACAGATTTTAGCCAAACACAGGACTCTTGAAGTTTATCATAGACAAAACTGGAAAAAAAACAAAGCCCCTTTCCCCCAAAAAAATCTTTTAGCTTGATTAAAACTCTCTCTTGGTCTACTTAAGAGGGATAACCTCCAACAATGTTTTCTTCTAATCACAACGTACGAAGAGAAAAAACGAAAGGGGGCAAACTAAGATTATTTATGTAGAAAGATACAGGGTGGGTGTGCAGAAGAGAAAATTCCCATTGATTGTGTGTGGGAGTAACATTTCTGCAAAACGGTTCCCACTGAGTAGTCAGAACTATTTTTAAAAGTTCGGCTTGTGAAAAGACAGACAGAAATTCTCAGACCACTAATTCTCTCCCCTTTACTATCATGTTGAATAAGAACACGTATAAAACCTCTGGCCTCTGTGGCTTTCTCTCCGTCCTGCAGCTATAGTAAAGATCTGACCTTAAAAGAGTTCAGAATATGATGCACAGAGAGAGTTTTGTTTTGTCATTTTATTTGCAAGTGTTTTAAAAATGTACCGGTCATCAATAAAACTTGTGGAAAAAGCCTTATTGTGTTTTAATTCGTTGAATGTGTTCTCCCTATGGACAAACTGAAACCCCCTCTGGTTGTATTTGCTTTGGAAGAAATGGGGGCTGAAATGAGATCGGAGAGCCTCCAAGAATCTCACGCTAATTGAAGTCGACAAAAATACTAACAGCGCCCTTTTGAACTGCTGACATTGTACAGGGTGGATTACAGAGCGTATATTAACAACAGGTGACAGCCGACATTGAACAGCGGTGCTGAAAATTGCCTGCTGCTTACAAAGGGTCCGATCAGAGCCAATGTGGTCAAAAGCAGGAGAAGGAGTGGGGCTGACAGGGAGACAATCAAGAGAGGCTCACGTAGGAAGACTCCATTTAAGTGGCAATGTCCTCGGGTCCCCCCAGGAATGAGATTCAAAAAGAAATGACATGAAAAGAGCACTATTTGTGGAGGTGTTATTGTGGACATGTTCTCGTTAGCAGGACAGCCTTGTTGGAGCTTCATTACGAGAGAGCACTCTCCAGCGTTTTGCTGCTGGCCTATAACATGAAACATTCTGCCGCACTAAAGGAGTCTGGATTTGAAGCTTCTATTGCTAGATTTTTAATTTTGTGTCTCACCAGAACATGCTTTTTCTTTGTTAAACTAGCCTTTACAAATACTGTGTGTGGACAGTCGCATACACAAAATTGTGCTTCAGCCCAGAGGTTTCCTTGGTTACAGCTCTGCTCAGTCTCCATTATTCCACAGCCTTCTTCTGTACTTCTTAAAATCTGCATCTTTAAGTGCTCAGGCATTTACAGTGGAAAGGTCTGCACTCAAACCTTTCACTCATTTATTCAGAGTATGTCTGTTAGGACTTTTTAGTCTTTCATAAGATCAGCTGACCTACAGATAAAAGCAACTGTCACACAGCTAAGTTGCCAATTTCAGCACAAGAAAAAGAAAATGAAAAAAGGGAAAAGGAGAAACACTAAACACTTGTTAAAAGAATAAAATCACAAAATACCTTTACTGACTTTTTCTTCTTAAAAGGATTGGGTTTAGCAATAGGACATACAGTAGTTAAGTGTTTCACATTGAGCTTCCAGCTGAAGTAAAAAAAAAAGAGCATTTCAAATTCGAGTATTTAATCGAAATCTCAGAAATATCATTCGGCAATCAGAAGGCTTACAGAAAGAACCCTGTCAACACTCTTAAGACCTTTATAAAGACATCTGGTTTGAAAGAATGTCAGAAAACAGAAAGGTATGCAACTGCAGAAAAAAACTCTTGCTTAAATCCTTTTTCCCCTTGAACCCACATACTTCTCCTCAAGACAGGAATTTTTCTCTCAAAAAGATGTGGTGAACACATCTTTTTTTCCCTGTAATTTGGTTGCCTGAGCTTTTCTTCTATTCCTCTTGTTTTTAACAGTGATTGCGGGCATCTATTTATGTTAGGAAATATGGGATCTAGGTTTAAAGAGCATTGTGACTCTTTAGTAAATATTTCCAGTAAACAACAATTATTGCTTCCTTAGCATTATCCTGCAATAAAAAAATAAGACTTGAATCAACGCAACGTCTGACTGAAATAAAAGTGCTACACATCCATGGGCTTATACAGATAGTATTTAGCCATCTCCCCAACCACCTCAACCATATGTTTCTCACCCTGTTCTACCTGGTACTCCTAATCAAAAGTAAAATTCTGCTAAAGTACAGGTAATACAGAGTTGCTATCACGGAGTACCTAGCGCTCTGTTAATACAGTTATTCATGTCATCTGGCAGTCTACTACTACTAACAACAACAACAATAATAATAGTGTTAATAAAGACAGAAACACAAGCACCACATATTACACTGCCATAATCTGCAAAGAAATGTGTTCCTTATTATTGCTGACTTGTGAAAGTCAGATCAGTCCAATGTGGGGGATACAACTAAGTAATTGCTTTTTAATTCATGTTTGCAAAAATTTCTAGCACTCATCTCACACATCTTAGTTTTTAGGTTTTTAATTTTGATATTTTCAGACACCGTTATTTATTTGCAATATACCATCATAAAAAGACATAAGAAGGACAATATTGACATTTTGTTCATACATTAAAAAGCAGACTGTAATATATGTGGAATTCCTGTTGGAAACGAATTGTGCTTTATGGGTTGTGGGCAAAAAATGGAAGACTAAGGCAGGCACAAACATGTTAAAAACAGAAAAACACTGAATAATTGAAAGTTACCAACAGCCAGAATGTTCTCATTTTAGACTACCTCCACACTTAAGGTCCTTGAGAACTTAGAATCAATGACTGGTTTTATTTATTACAATAGCCTGTTTCATAGTACATGAAATGAATAGACTGGAAATGTTTCAGTTCCTAAAATTTACACTTGCTAGGATTTCCTTTCTGTCTGTCTGCACTAGTTACTCAAAGCCCTTAACGGCTGTAAAGCAAATTTTGCTCGACTTTGACACTTTCAAAGTGTCAAACACTTTGAGACATTCAAATTACCAGGAAAGAGTCCATGGATACTTATTGTGTTACAGCTACATCATTAGTCTGAGAACACTGAAGTTCCCATTGACTGGCCAATTTAATTAATTCATACAAGCACTAACAAATAGCTTTATTCAAACCAAACCTGAATGGCGGCAAATTTTATAAGGCAGCAAAGTTAAGGTGATTTAGGCTGGAATTATTTTACTATAATACTATTAAACAAAGAATAAAAAAGAAAAAAAAAGATCTTTTATTTCATTTTTGTAGACATTTGTCACGTTTACTACTTGGACATTTTTTGGTATTTTATATTTGTGTCCCTTAGCCTGCAGTCGGATGTGCTCTGATTGACTCTAGTTAATTCTGAGAGACACAACTAATAGGACTACAGCTTACCAATTTTCAATGACTGGTATGACAGTTCTAAAATAGAGGGAGAAGGAACAAACCTTAACCCAATAGAAAATACAGTTAATGCCTATGAGCTACTTTCAGCAGATAAAATCACTTAAATAATCTACAGTAGAATCAGAAGGAATAACGTACTCTGGTTTGCAAATAGCAGGACACCATCTATGAATGAGAGAGCTGTGCATGTGCCAGTTCACGTCAACCAGACAATGCTGACAGGTGTAGAACTTTCATGGGCAGGTCATGTGATAAACAGCAGAAAAGTGGTTTCACCTTTTTCTAGGGAAAATGATCATCAGTAGTCAGGTGAACAGAATGCCAAAAATCTACCTGCCAATAAAGGGAAAATGTTACAGTACCACCATCTGAAATGGAAAACATTCTGAACACGTTTTATACTCTCTAACTCCACATCAGATCTTCTTGGCATACTCTGCCAAAGGGAAATGTGTATTTGACCAAGTAAAACTTGAAACAATCAATTCCATGTTTTTAACCATTGCTTGTATTTTCTATTTCATATTTATCCAGATTGGAATTACCAATTATTTTTTTTTTCTGGGAACACAGCATTGTCTTCTGTACAATGCAGGGGAGAAAGAGGACAGGCAGAGCAACTGGAGCCCTTCATCTCTTGACATCTTACAGGAAAGCTGGTCTCACTGCAAGCCTGAACGAAACCAGGAAGTTGCCACAAGATTGGCCACGTTGCTAAGGCTGCTCAGGCCAGCTTGTCCCAGCCCACCACTCGATGGCACCCTGCCTGCTGTGTCCACTTGGGGAAACATGGTCACAGTCAGCCTGTGATACAATCGGGGCTTGGACACAAAGCGTCATGACCACAGGACTTAACCTGAGTTTGGAGAGAGTGCCGGTCCTGCTTAGGCCATTTGCGAGCCTCCATCTGAGAAGTTTAACTTATGATAAATCGCTCCCATAATTCGCTAATATTTTGACTCTGCATTCCCCTTTATTATCCCAGTTTTATTACAGCAAAACACCAGCCAGATAAGAAACTCCCCAGCATGAAACACAGAGACGTAGAGCCATGACAAAGAGATAAGGAAAGCCTCAGACAAGATGAGGCACCTAATCCGAAACTGCACTCTTCTTAGTTTTTACACGTCAGGTACCATACACAATTATGAGGCTAAGTGCTAAGCTAGCCTTTAAAACCTGGATCCGATTCATCTTCTGGGAGAGGATGAGCAATTTCCAAAGGACATCCCCACACAACCAGCCCTTTCTGCTCTGTGCACATAAGGTAACCCGTGGCAGGGGCTTCTAATAAAAAATATGGAATGGCGATTTTTCAGGTTCACAGGCTGGAAAGTCCTCACACAAAAGAAACAGTCTTGGGTGAGGTTGAGGTTTTACATCAAGCTTCCTGCTGCTCACAGGCTCCCGATGTTGGGGAAGCTCTTGAGTTTCTCCGGGAAGTCGTCCTTGTAGAGGACAGGATCAGCACGATGCTCCACCACTTTGAGAGGCATCGTTCCAAAGACGGAGGCAAACTTGTTGATGCACTCCGACCTGAGGAGAGATGATGTCAGTCAGTACAAGACTGACAACACTGGGTGCCTTGCAGTGGGAGAATTAACCAGGTAAATTCAAGGTGAAGGGGGTATTAAAACACAAAGCAACCACCATAAGGTTGCTTTAGAAGAATTTAGAACAGAAAACAAAACGTTTATTTTCTTAAAGAAACAGTTATCAGAAGTCATATGAAATCTTGGCTGGGCAAGACAGGTGGAAAGCACAATGTGGCTGAGACTTGGCCAAAATCAGTGGGCTCCAAACGACAGGCCTTAAAATGTTGACAGCATTGGTTAGAATAACAGTGAAAATTTGACATCACACTAGGTATCAACTTTATAAAATGTAAGAGATGTTTGAAATAGAAATCTGACATTTAAATTACAAAGGATCCATAAAATCTTCACAGCATATCCAAGGCAGTGGTTTCAGACAATCCACAGTAATACAGTATATATTTATACACATGTTTTTTTTTAACACGGGCAAGCATTTTGACTGGCAGTCAGGTGGGCAGCCAACACATTAGACCATGCTCCAAATGGCTGCAGTGGGCACTGGATTAATGGGTACAGTCTGAGGATTGTTAGTAACTACACAATGGCTTTCAGATGCAGGACAAGGTTTGCCAGGGAATGGGTATAGCCAGAATTCAGATTAAAGAGCCGCTGTGTAGTTCAAGGAACAGGCAGCCATCCAGCATTCGGAAGTTGAGAAGAGTTTATGATATTTTGGGGCACCTGGATTTGAACTCAGCAGACATACTTTGCAGTGAGCTATACCCCTGTGTGCTCTTTAAATGTGGAGACTGAATTAGAGCTCAGGAAAGCAGGATACTCTTACCTCTCCACCATGTGTGTCTGGTCTAGGGACAACCCATCGATAGCTGTGCACTCAGGGCACTTAAACTTCTTCCGAGGGGTCACCTGAAGAAAGGGAAAAAATGCATGTGAAAACCATGCAGATTCCCTTTGAAGCAGCATGCACAATATAGTTTACACAGGCATTGCCAGGCTTCAGAACTGCTTACTCAATAAACAGTACACTAATGTATATTCTTCCTTGGAAAAAAGTGCATCAAATGTTTATCAAAATGCTCCTGCTTTTTAATGAGAAAAAAGAATATTGCATTGCAGTTAAGAACTTCACTTCTCAGCTTACATAAAGAGGTTCTTCAGAAAAACATCACACTGCAGAGCTGTGAAAACGACCCATGTTGCATTATTACTTAAACACACAAATTCCATTAAACAAACGTATTCAGTGGAGCTTTGTGGCCAAGACTGGGAGGAGAAAGAGAGATGAGATGACAGTGTATTTAATTCAGCTTTAATGAGTATTATCAGTGCCAGTCTGCCCTGTGTAAACAGACCTCTCCAACTCACATATAGAAAGGATATAGAATGACCTTTCCAGTTCTCCCCTCGGCTCATTACCAGTGAGAGGCATGATTAAGGGGGGTGAGAGGAGAGTTTGTGGCAAGGGGAGGGGGGGTGTATTTACTTCAGAGGCAGCCCCAGCAAGCTTAAGTAAACATATTTTATTGGGAGGGACATCACTCAAGTTGTTTGGAAGGATATACACATGGTATGGTGACATGGTAGCTCTGTCCAGCACCACTTAAGTTTCATTAAAACAATTTCAATGTGAACAATTAGGAGCACCTTCTCAGTCTGGAGATCCTGAATATTCCTGCAGGAGAAATCTACTGCGTCAGGTTGTACTATACTTTGGGCACTATAGAAAGTAACCAATAACAGTTGTTTTTTTAAACTGAATAAAGTGGAACCAAAAGGAATGGAGAGCAGACTTACTTATCATCATTTAGTGCTTATACCAGGGAAACATGCTTTTGTATCTCTTTAGCTGACTCTTTTACACATTTCTGAGTCCTAATCCAGGCAGCAGAATAAATTACAGTAGGCACCATTCTAGTGTTTGTGACAGAAGAAAAATCCAAATCATCCAAAAACTGAAACAAATATCACTGATAATGCAAAGTTTTAAGAAATGAACCAGGTTGCCTAAGAAACTTAATGTGAAATACTAAGTGGATTTAAAGTATTAACACAAAAAGCAGGTATACACATTTTCTACTATTTTTGTTTATAGTATAATTACTGTACATAATTCAGGAGTCCACCAGTTTCCAGTTTTCTGATTAATATTACATTTAAATATATTCTTGATTTTCCATCACATTGTCTAGCATGGCTTTCACATATACTCAAGTATTTGATAATTCATACAAATCTACAAAAAAAATAATCCTGTATCGAGACAGTGGTAAAATATTCACCAAAAACTGTAAAGGCACTTACAAATGAGCCTTATCCAAAGGATGCAGCACAATGAGATATAGTGACTTCTCCTGGATCAAATGCAGTCAATCTCTGGCAGTGCCTGGTAACCACCTGCTAATAAGCCCTTTTGTTTAGTCCTTTACCTTAAGTAACTGTGTAGTGGGTAGTTATTCTCATGTGGAAGAGCATTCTTTGCAATGCTTCCCATACATGTATTTTCCTATCAATTCTTCTCATTCCTCTTTGCCGTCTTACCTTAATAGGTGCCTTGCCAGTGATGTTAGCCACCAGGAAGTTCATAGCAATGTCCTCACAGTTCATGTGGGCATCAACCCAGTTTTTAATATCTCCAGGCATCTTGTATGTGTACAGGTAGTTGAAGTACTAAGTAAAATACATAATACAGAATTAATACAATGAACAGCCCACAGCCCAATTTCCTAAACCATTTTCTGTGCCACAAAGGATAAATCACATTTTTGAAAGAAAAACAACCTGTCAGTTTTACAAAAAAGATGAAAAACATTAAAAGAGTATATAAGGACTCACCTTAATATGCTGAAAGATTTCTGTGAACACAACAACTTCATTCTGCAATCTTCTTACATGAAGGTAAAATCCTTTTTTGGGAACTAGGTCCAAGATGCTTCTTATTTTATAATATGTTAATATGAGAGAAAGGAGCAATGCTCGTCCAATTGCTAAAAGCTTATCAATTTCCAAATGTTCTCAGGCTGTTTTTTGGATAGTGGGTTAAGGATGATTTCACTTTGCTTGTGTTTGGGCACAAAAACACGCACAGGCATTGTCTACGTTGTCTGCACTGAACACTGCCTACCTTGTGGTAAAACGCAGCTCCAGTCAGCACCATGGATACCTCGTTGGTCCACTCAGACTCATATTTCCACTTGCCCATTTCGTGATCCCACAGGTGCAGCCGACCTGGATAACCCACCAGCCTGTCCGGGAACTCCCGCCACACCTGCAGTCAGACGGAGAGAGAGACAAAAGGATTCGGCTCAGTCGCTAACAATCCCAGCTCTACCCAGCATCTGGAAGCCATCTTTTTCTGGGAGGAAGCAACCTATCTTTTTTTGCAAATCTGAAACAATTTAGGTTGGGGGGTCCTGTGTGGTTCAACAGTTGGGAATGCAGGTTGATCCCTGGACGGAGGACAGTGACAGAATAGGCCTGGCCTGTGTCATTAGCTGACGGACTGTGATGACTCTAATCCTGGCTGAGCCCTGCTAAGGTGAGCACGAGCAGATCTGAGTTATTCCTTGCTTAACACGCAACAGTGACCAGTACAATGACAGAGAATATTATAAGGCATTTCTAAGAAGTCTAATACTGACTTCCTGCTTGACTGTATATAAAATAGCCTAAAATGTTGTTTGCATGAGAAATGTTTAAAACCTTTTACAGATACTATCAGTGTGTCATCTTTCAGGAAATTATTATTATTGCCACATAAATAAGATTCTGACATTTAAAAAAAGCATTCAAAACTACAAAATATATACGAACCTAAAATAATAATTACTCTAGGAATACAATCTAAAATATAATCTAATTGGTCTACCCAGATATAAGAAACATAGCTTATGTATCCATGTTGATTGTTATTAATGCTTTTTCTTTCATGTAACAGGTACAATTCCTAAGATTTTTGTTTTATTTATGAAGTAAATATTTGTTTTATCATCCATCATAAAGAATAAGCTCAGTTAAAACATCAGATTTTTCAAAAGCATATAGCAACAAGAAAAGTTTATATTTTGTGTATTGAGTGAATACTATTTCCTTTAACTGATGTTATCTACCTAATTAATCAGAATGAATCTACTTTAATATCTCAGACAGTGCAAACTTGCTTGCTGACTTAAAGCTGCTGTTGTATTACAAGGACAAGTTTCATAACCATATCTAAGATTGAAAACTTTGGGCTGTCATTTGCAGTACTATCCTGTGAAAAACTTGTACACAGTGTGATCAGAAGTCAGCCCCAGGCTCCAACTAACACAGAAAGGTCATTGTGTTCCTTCCTTAAGCCCAACAATACGGTTAGTAGCACACAACACACACAATCCAAAGCCTGGTGTTTTTCAAGCTGTCCTTGCCAGCTCCGATTTGAGACCAGGACAGGGGCTTATTATCTTAAATTGTTCAAAATTGTCTAAATCGGGCTTAAATGCCTCCAGGTGAGTCCTAGTTGCTCCTACAGCCATGGTCAATGTCAGGTTAGCTTGTCATCATTCCCCAAACATCACACTGATTGCCAAGCTCCGTCAGGTGAAGGAAGATCTTTGTGGAATATAGAGTGGCAGAACTTTAAGAGTTATGGATGTCATTTACACTTTCATAAAGGACCTCTTCTGATGTTACGAGGAGTTTGTGGTTTCAGGTTTAAATTCCTAATTTTCACTGTGTAAAAGGGAAAAAAATAATAGGTCTATGAATTGAGCAAAACAAGCCAATCAGATAAACAGGCCAAGTTAACTCCTTTAATCTATGCTAGGGGTAAAGAAGATGAGAAAGGAACACTTCAGAAATAAGAACATTGACCTCAAGACTAGAGAGTACTCTTCCCTTAAGTTTCATAGTTGTCTTCAATCCGGGGCTAGTCTGGGACAAGACAATAACTCAATTAAGTTCAATTAAGCTATTTAATGTGGGGCTGGGATGACTTTATAAGACACTGTTCCTTTCCAGTATCCGAGATGGAGACCCCTGAATAAAAATGTATGTCGAGAATTCCCACGTTAACTGTCATAAATTTGAACAGAATATAGGACAAAATTGCCTGAACCTACTTCTTCCCACCAAAATGCAGGGAATATGATTACATATATTATACTACACACACATGCACATAATTATCTGGGAAAGGAATCTCTTTATGTACGTTCTAAGATATTACAAGTTGTCTGACCTAGAAACTTCAAGCCAATTCTTTAATGAGACAAAGTAATACAAAATATCTGTACGAATATCTTAACTGTTTCTCAGGTACTGTCTGCAACAACATCCAAGCCAGGTTTGCTCTACTCCGGTCCTCAAGGGCTGCAATCCAGCAGGTTTTATACTGTAGGTCTCTCTAAATCTCAACTTTCTTAAGAACAGGAAATGGCTTACACTTTCCCAATTAAACAAATAAGTTCAATCAAGTAATTAAGGACTCAGGTGAAAAGAAAAAACGGAGACCTTCTGTTTCTTTAGCCTGGGAGTTGTGCACTTCCTGATCTAAACAGATATTTTCCTGGATACACAACTGCCTGGAGTAGAAAAAAAGTCACAATTTCACAGGTTTCAAGCCCTGAAACTTTAATCTTTAGATCAAAATGGATATCAGGTCCTTCTGCAATGTTACTAACAAGTCCTGTTTATGTACAGCACTTATACAGAGAACTAAATCCTAGGAGCCACTGGAGTGGTATTGCATCATTTCTACCCTCAACCTGTAAATCTTTGCTTTCAGCGTTCAAGGGCCTTCAGGTATCTACATTCATTAGCTCACTAACAAGGTGCTGAGGCAAGAATTAAGAGAAACGTGAACATAAAGAAAATCCAGACTCATGTTTGATACAGTTTGCTTCTGGACTAAATGCTGTGCATAGTCAAATAACGAAGACATTTAGGACATTCTTCTATGCTGTGACGCAACTTGTACTGAATTCCCAGTGCTTCTGGGATGAAGGTACATTTAGACAGATTTAGCTGTGTTTACAATCAAAGTTGGTGATGTGCAAAACCAGCTGACATTCAGCTGAATGGTTTCTCCTTTTTCAAACTCAATTGCTTGCATCCTCTTCCAGAAGATATCAAATGGTATGACTGGGGCAGAGGGGGTGTAAAGTGTGCTGTATGCATCACTCACCTCGTAGCCAAACTGCAGTTCATCTGAGGTCAGCATAATGATGTCATCATCGATGGCCAGGACAGCTTCTGTCTCAATCTCATCATAGGGGAAGAAGCGGTTGCTCAGCTTGTTCTCCTTTGTACGCACCACCTTGAGAGGCACTGAGATCTTGGGCCAAAGGGACTCTAGAAGAGGACCCACAGAGGAAGTCTTTAGATTATGCAGAACTGAAGGCGTCTGATTCAACCATTTACATCTACACTTGACTGCTGTTCTGGATTTTTACAATAAATGTCTTATCTTTAAGATATTTAAAATACATTCAACTGAAAGGGTCTCTAAAACTCACTAGCATGTCAATATTTGAAGGGTCTTAAGCTTCTCAGTTGAGTCACACTTGAAGAGAACTCTGGGGAATCAATGCTGTATGGTATTAACTGAGGTGTGAGAATACTGTTTCTTCATTTCACTAAGGTACACGTAAGGTGACAAAGGGGTCTGAAATGAGGCCTGTTTTAAAATTAAGACAAAAAAGTCTCAACATGAAATGTGAAATGTTAAAAATAAATCTTACTGGGAAAATAAAAAGAAGATGTATACAATTTCAAAGGCAAAATAGCAATTTCAGAGGTAAATCTCGGTTAACTAATTCCTGATTGCACAACAGGACACTGCCTTTAAGGTTTACTGCTGGCATCCCTCTGACTTTCTAAAAAAAATAAATGATGTGCTTTGCTCAAGTGCCGGAAGTACTCCATTTTCAAAGATGAAAGCAACTTCAAAAAATGAAAACTAAAATCCCTCCCCAAAGAACTGGATACAGGAATCCCTTCCCAATTACTTTCATGAGCCAGGATTTCAGCGTTTCGATTCCAGCGTTACTTAACAACAGCTAGATGAGAAGGGAAATACTCGAATGGGCTGAGGGGAAGGCGCACTTTGAATGCCAAAGAGAACTGGCATTTACGATCCAGCCTGGGAAACAAAACCTTTCATCTCCTGCACTGCAGCCAAGGCCGACAGAGGCAGCCAGGGGAGTCTGGTGGTTGCAGCCGAGGACAAGGGGATGAGACAGAGTGGCTGGGCAGCGGTTGCCGTTTTGCAGGTCTTGAGATTTGTACAGGCCATAAAGGCTAAAGGAAATTTACACAGCGTTTCTCGAGATCGCGAACGGAAAAAGGAGATCCATTGATTGTTTTTGCTCTAGTGTGGACGAGGGTGTGGGTAGTAACACAAGCTTAAAAAGTAAAATTCAGAAATTAAGCAGCCTTGGGAAAAAAAGATTTCTGATGTTTAATACGCATCTTTAGAAATTAAACCACAGATATTTCCTTTGGCCACCAACTTCTACATTTATGCAGTCATTATTTATATTTGATTTAAATTGGAAATTACTTTGAAGTTAAAATTAATTGCTGAAACATTAGATCCTGTGAGCCAATTTGATCAACCAAAAATAAATTAAAATTGGTTTCATTTGTTCAGTAATGAGACATTACTAAACAACCATCGCATGACGTGGTCTTTGAGTACAAATGAAGAAAAAAGTATTTTTTTTAAATGTATTCAACAATTTACTGATATTTTCCTGATGAAGGACACATAAAATCCCGTACAATAGCTTTCAACCGATATCTTTTCTGGCATTTTATTTAGATTTTGTTCCAATTTTCAATAAAGAAAGAGAAAAAAATACAAAAAAAATAACCTGGAATATCAGAAGAGGATGTTGCTAGCAAGAATTTCAAATGGACGTTTGCTGCATTTTAGCACCGAGTAAACAGCTGTAATTGAAATGGCGCCACAGTTGGAAAACAAAAAACACAAAAGGCTCGCTTCTTACCTCTACCAGGCCAGTATGACTGATTTTCACTATAAATTCAGGTTGATTTGTGAAAATGCCTTATTAATACTAATAGGTTAGTGCAACTATAGCATGTCTAGCTTGCGATCTTTAATCAAAGCGAACAGTGGGCCATTAAGCCACTTCAAAGTGCCCCTTGCTCATAATTGCAGTACTAGAAATCTATGGAGAGGATATATTTCAATTCCTTTCTGCTCTCCTTTTATTCTTGCATGTCAATCAAAGGGCTCCATAAACAACAGCATACTTAATAACCCTGTTAGGTGGATCGTTAAGGCCAGAAGTGCAGTAAATAATGATTAATACCCAACTTCGCTTGAATCACTTCTAATTGGTTATAAATTATTTCAAGAAAACGTGACGGAACAAAGCAAAATGTGAAATCATAATGTTGGTATTTTATTGGTATAAAAAAGATAAAGGAAAACATGTAGATATGCAATATTTAATACCTCTTATGGAAGTAAAAACATTTTTGACAAATGGAACTGGGACTTGTCTATCAACACAATCTATGATTCTAAAAAGCTAAAATGCCTTAGGGTTTAAAGAGAGTGCAGAGAGACCAAAATTGGAAATACTGTCGTGCCAAAAAATATGTTTATTAAACTGATTTTTAGATATAAAACATTAGTGGAGCAGAATCTTTCTTTACTTAGAATAACAAAGATCTCCTGGGAAATTGGTGCAGTTGGATATCTTAAAGATCTACAGTGAGTGGAAGTGTGTGGAGGATGGGAAGATTCAGGACAGACAACAGGAGTTGTCATTGTATTTCACTGGATATTTCAGTTCCTAGATTGTGGGAGTCTGGAACCAGTGTCCCTTGTTGATTTGTGGAAACTGTTTTTGTAGGATTCTTTCAGAAATGGGTCAGTTTAATTCTTGAAGCATTAAGCTAATAGCAATCAAACAAGCAAGATGAGCCGAATGCCCTGTCATGTTGGTAACCTCTTTTACAGACTCAGACGGCTCGATGAGGGTGTCCTTTCACGAGCCAGTGGGAGCTCAGGGAAGCTCACCTTCGGGGGGACTCTTGTTCTGGTTGTTCCACACCACGAGAAGCTTGGCCAGGCTGGGGACCTTGGAGATTTCGGTGATGACGCGGAAGAGGCTCTCGATGCGGTCATAAGTGAGCACCACGGCGGTGAAGCCGGGCGACCGAGGAGGGATGAGAGGAAGGAAGAGAGGGCTGTTCACGCTGGACCACTTCTGAGGAGACCGGCAAGGAAGAGAGACCAGCTCTGAGAAAACGGCACTTGATTAAAAGGCTTTCTATTGATAGCACTCATGCTGCGTGCATCATTTTTCTCTAGCCTTCATTCCTATCCCCTTTCAGACAAACAACTTATCTGGCTTTTACAATCTTAAACTAGTGCCTAAACTCATTAATGGTTCCTTTAACATTTGATTTGACTCTAATGCCAAAACCAAGCATAACAGTTAATGATACTTGGACAAAGACAGGGGGAAAAACAATTTTGATAGCATGTGTCAGGTTAATAATCTGGTCGGAAGGAGTTCACAGTGACCTTTCAGCTTTGCCAAACCATTGCCTAAATCTTCCTCCTCTAGGCTAGGGTTACATTGAAAAGCAATAAATTCAAACGAGCAGTCTTTATGCAGGGATGAAAGCACAACATTTCCATTCTGCAATCACTGTGAGTGCCCCGCTTAATAGTGACTACGATGTACCCCAGCTTGTTTGTAAAACAGAGTGGCCTGGAACTTGACAAGCAATAAACCTCTTCCTCCACTGAAACAGACACTGAACTGCCTGCCTGTTTGATACTTAAAGACCCTTGACTTAACCATAGGAAAGAGCGCAGGGTCTCCATTTGGAACCCAATCTTCACGTTGTAAACCCTAAGCACTAAGCCATAAAATAATAGTGTTTACTTGAAGGGAACCTACTGAAATGTGGCCCTTTGCCTTTTAACTAGCTTTGTAAAAATGAAGTGGCCAAGATTAAATGAAAATAAGAACAGCGCAGAGATGTACCTTTTGAATGGTCCTTAGAAAGCTGTAAAATATTCTGTCCAGGTTTAAATGAGAGTCTGTAATTAACGCCATAGCAAACAGCGCTATTACTGACAAACAATCTTTTAATTCTGCATTGTATGCCACAATCAATATGGTACCTGTCCTACTCTAAACAGAAGCACAGTGTGAGGAAAAAAAATCCAATTACATTAACAGATTAATTGATTAAAATAAAGCGCTCATTCATTAATTCCTGTGATTTGTTAAACTCAGGTATTACAAGTATTGTATTTTTAATAAGGGAAACAACGTGTGGAAGACCCAGGGTTAAAGTTCATGCAGATGCATATGTGTGAGGATGTAAAAAAAGATAACTGTAGCTACTGTTATGAAAATGATCAAAAGATTAACTTTTGCCATCTTCTCGGATCTTGAGTCTAAGCGTGCAGCGGAGCAGGCCGACAAAGCAAATCAGCTCACAAACACAGTCCTGAGTCAAGTCTGTGTGCACACTGTTCAACCGATGAGGCTGCTTGCAACTTCCGTGGAGACCGGTTCAGTGGCAGAGTGGAGCAAGCGAAGGGGGGACTGCAGTTTCACAGACAAACCGAACCCGAGACCACACACCGTCTTGAACTTGGGACTGCTCAAAAGACAGTCAATTTGTAACGGAGAAATCACAGAGCTCATGTAAAATTGTGGGTTCAAGCTATTCATATTTTCTACCAGCTTCCACCCACCAAATCAGCCTTGGTGGTTTACCAGCTGTCTTAAAGAGTCTCAAGTGCAAATCCAGCGTGGTCGGTTGTCATGGAGATGGCTATTAAGAACTCTACATCAGTGAACTGGTCCTTCTCTTAAATGTCTTATTAGTATATATAACATTCTTTGAAGTGTCTAACAATATTAAATGTACATCAAAAACAAACATTTAAAACATGTTATATTTGTTGAAGTGACTACCACGGTTTGAAAGCACTGAGGTGCAGCTACGCCTGGCACATTTAAAGGGAAGTGAATTGAATGCTTAATTTGGTCCAAGCAATAGTGTATGCTAGAAATAGTCCACGTCAGAGCAGTCTGACTCAGACACCCTTCACTACACATCAGTTTTGCTTTTGACTTGCGTTCACCAATGTTAAAAAGGAACATACTGCACATGATAACATGACACTTGCCCGCGAGACAAAGCTTTCAAGCCTTTTCCTATAGGCTGTCAATACTTCAGTGGAGCGTGTAAACAACGACATTTTTAATATTAAACGGCAATTTAAACGTATGCCGAACAGTTGTACGGGTGAAACTCAATTCCACTCTTGTTCTTTTGCCGATGCCGTTGTGTGCGCTTTTCTACAGAAATGCATGAAACTGTTATCATTTCCAGAGTGCTGTTTTGTGGCCACATATGCCGGCCCATTTGACTGAAACAAAATACTCCTGCCCACTACAACTCTTTTTTTTCTAAGCCTCAGTGTCAAATTCAGGGGAAAAAATAACATTTTCTTTTAGATGTAACTGCTAGAATTCATCTAATTACTGACACAGCAACTTGTAGTTATTATATATATTCTTTTACCTCCACCCTGCTAATTTCTTTTGCGAAAATAAAAGAAACTCCACACATTCATAACCACTTTCTCTCATATAACAGCCATGTGTCACGCTGTGATTCTGAAGTTAACTTAACGGGTTGACTGACAGAGGGAGAGGAAAGGCCGTTTCATGTGGCTTTGGGTTTTGGCGTGTTTTTCAGTCAGGATCATGGAAGAACAGATTTGGGATTAAATAAAAATGGAATGCAGATGACAGCATATTAAAAAAAAAATACTTTAAATTTCCAAACGCAAAATACACACACAATTTTCTCCCCGCTTGATCAACAGCAAATGTATATAATGGTAACATGTCAACAACAAGTTCGGCTGAAGGGAAGGAGTAGAAGGCATCTGTGCATTTCTAAGTGCCGAAAATGAGCAAGATTTACAGTATACAGCTTCACTGGCTTTTATATCACTACACTGGAGTTAAGTTAAAATATTCTTGGACACTTGACACTTATTTAACAGAAAGAAAATGTGAAATTCACTAAGGAAAAGCCAAACTGAAATTACAGAGGTCTTATTATACTGGGTGGATAAGGATCTTTATTTCCATATACCAAGTATGTTACAGCACGCGTTAAATGTAAAAATAAAGGTCTAGGCACAGACTATTAATGCTTGAAAGAGCTGTACTCAAGTAGTATGGCACTCACTCAAAGAGTAGTTTGTACTCTATGGTTCAAGCATCAGCTGCAAGCAAAGTTTTCCCTTTCTTCTGTCTTTATCATCACTGCTCTTCCTATTCTATTTCAAACATTTCGATTCTGGTACAACTAATAAACGTGTTAGATTCATAGATGATACAAAGATCAGTAGTGTGGTAGATAGCAGCAGTGGCACAAGCAATACAAGAGGACTGCAATTTCTGCATGAAGCAGAACCGGAATGTCACACACAAAATGAGTAGTAATGGATTAGAAACAATGACAACCAACAAAGATCTCGAAGTTCAGGCAGACATTCTAATAGACTGTGCAGAGATATAATAATAAAAGGATGATTACAGCAAACAAAATGCTTTGATATATTAAGAAGGTTAAGTTTTAAATCTAGGAAATCACATTCCAATTATACAGTATAATGCATTTGTCAGATCTCACTTGGAATGCTGCTTTTAATTTCAGTTACGTGCTGTAAGAAGGCCGCTGTTCTGGAGGAGAAGAACAAAGTCAACTTCCTCAACAAGTCTAAATGATGTCCCCACTCGTAGAACCACTCTCTTTTTTTTTAAGTGAAGGTGCAAGAGTGCCCAAAGGCGGTTGGGGATGGGTAGGCTTCAGATATCCAGAGCACCCTCATCTTCCTGTGCTATAACAGCCACCATGGTTTGTCAGGCTCACATGAGCTTGCAGTGGTGTCAGTGAGAACTAGCCTGTGCCATCTCAGTTGTAAGGCACATCAGAGCCTGCAGCATGTAAAACAGACAGTGGCTCCACTGGGCATTTTTTATATCTGGCACGGTGCTGGTTTCACTGGTGGCAGTAAAACTTTGAGGGTCTTTTAGTCCTGAATACACAGATAGCATATAAAGCACAACACGTCACAGGCTGGAGGAAGAAGCTGAATTTATTAGAGACTGAGTATGTGTGTAACGCTCGTAGAAATTTCAGACCTCAGCCCCCCTCCGATCATACGTAAGGGTTAATGACCCAACATCGATCTGACCCAGTGCCTCATAAACCAGGAGGGGTCCTTTTAAAGACTGGAGAGAGTGAAGTGAGAGGGGAAAGGACACATTTACTGCTCAAAACTTCTGTACCCACAAACACACACGCACACAAAGAATCTATCCAGAGAAGCAGAAAAGACAAGCGTATCTCCCAGCAGCAGTCAAAGGCTTTTTACATTTCTTCCAAACCTAAATGTGGTTTCAATTATTTCTCCGGTGGATAGAAGAAAAAAAAAATTGTGCTTGATTTATTTAGTGCTCTGGTCCAATTCTGCTCAACGTGTTTCCATTGAATATGTTGAGAAAGTATTTCATCTTTCTTCTCATCTTGGAACGGTCAAAGGCCAAATACGCAGCAGAATTAACCTTTTGCAGCCCAACACTCCTTTGATTTCGTTTTAAATACGATGCATGACAAAATAATGTCAATTGTTACTGTTAATTACCAAGACTACTACTTAGAAGTACTGTACTACTGTATTACACTGTGAAATAGTAACATACCATTGTTGGGCCGTGTAAAACGTCAACTATCTCATTAGACGCTCCCAGCAGTTCTTAATAGACTACAGCGTGTTAACATTGGCAGCATTAATTGGTTGCCTCAATCAGCATCTATGAACTCATGTGTGGGAGCAAAATCCCAGAAACAGAATAAGCATCTCACAATAAATCAGTGAAGTAACAGATGAGCCTGAGAGACAGACACTCACAGAGGGTGATTTATCAAGGTTTTTACATCCAAATATGCGGAATGAATTAAAACCTTTTATGAGTGGTACAGTACATAAGAATGTCTCGGTGAGGGTTTTACTTGAAAACTGAAAAGCATTCACAAGGCTGCTACAAAGCCTGGTTGTAGTCTTCGAAGTCAGAAAACGGAAATGTCCTTTGATAAACCAAAAACTTCCATATGTTGCATCTTTTCCCATAAACCATCTCTGACAGACTTGCCCTTTGCTGTGAAGCAGTATACAATCAAGGCCAGTGACTATTTTGAGAATGCTGGCACTTCACAGTGAGCACAATTAAAAAAGAAAGGCACATGTATGGACTGCATGGGGGTGTGTGAGGCACTGTGTGAGGGTTGTTCCTTGTTGTTTCTGGGTGATTAATAGTCATGGAGCGCCAATCTCCAAAGACTGAGTCAGTCTGTCTGTGGATCTTGAAGACTGTGATAACCACAGAGTGATGCGAATCATAAATATTCATTTAGTGCACAGTATCTGTTGTTCCAGCACAGTATATGGCACCAACACCAGAGAGAAAGACACACGCACGTTCATGCTCACACCACAGGCCCTGGCACGAGAACACGGGTAGCCATTTCTAAATAGTACGCAAATAATGTAATCCGGGAGGAGCTAAACTGGCGCGCACATTCATGGCTCACTCCCAATCCAACTGGGGCCACTGCTTGAAGTCTATGTCTTTTTAAATCAAAAAACAGAACTGAAAAGATGCAATCTCTTGTATTCAGTCCATGACAGGAGTGGAAGGCAACAAGAATACCACTCCCTCCGGCCCAAAAACACCCCAGGCGTGGAACCACAGCGGGCCACACACCGGCGGTGCCATTCTGACACTGCGGCTGCCAGGCGGCGGCTACAGCCAACATTCGCTCGTGTTGAACTTTGATGACCAACTACAAATGGAGCAACGCACACAGCCCGCGCCAATCTTCATGCTACAGAGGTGTTTGCGACTGGTAACCCAGAAAACCCCACCAAAATGCCAAAAGCGTGTGTGAGTGGGACTTAAACCGCCTCTGGACTCTTTCCTTATCACCCCACCTCAGGCCAACGTCACGCTACAGGGCGTTTTCATCTAGCCCTCAACACCATGATAAACTTACAACATAGTTTCACCTCAAAATCCAACAACGTTCCGAGGGTTGCAGTGTGAAACAAGTCTTTCGGGAAATATTGCAGGTGCCAAACAAAAAGATCCCCTGCCAATAGCTTCAATCAGTGCATCTTTGCTGAGGTGACATCAGAGTGTTTTTCCCCTTCTGTAAAAACAGGGGATGAGTTCCGCAGGGAGGACAAACCGAGGGTAATGCAGCAACGTGACTGGCACTTGAGATGCCCAGAAGCATCTGAAGCACTTCCACTACAGGCACAGCATCTTACCACCTGGGGGGGGTCGTTCCACTGCTCGTAAGAGCGGGCGGCATAAGGGTAGATCCGGTCGTTGATGATCTGCAGTGTTGCCATGGCGATAGCCTTCATGGAGCGGAAGTAAGCCTCCCAGAACCAGTGGGCCTATGGATGAAGAAACACGAAGGGGAAAGTAAGAACAGTTCACAATGAGACAATGTCCTCCAAACCTTGCTCGAAGAATGGCCTCAGCCTTGCCTGGGCTGCTAAACATTCTTATTTTCTAATCCAAAGTGACCTAAATTCAGATGTTCGTTAAAACTAGAAATAGTAACAATGCCAAAAAAACAACATTTATACTACATAAATTCAGCATATCCTAACTGAGTCTCTCAATGATAGGCAACATGCGCTTGGCTTGTGGAGTTAAACACCTACATCACCTTCCCTGGGAAAAGGGTTCTCGAGATCTCAAACCTATCCCATGAAAAGCGAGCTCCGTCCCAAAAAACATTACCCTAATCCCATCCTTGTCAGAAGCTGTGCCTATTAGAAGAAAAAGGATGAGACTGGGCTGCAAATATTTCTAAACCAGTGGTTTACATGGGATTACACGTGAGATCCCGTTCAAGCTGTTCGTGCTAAACGGCAGAGAGGACAAGGGAAAGCATAAGGAGAGACGAGGATCAGGAGATGGAAGGAGGAGTTATTCTTGAAGGATCTTAGTATATCAGCATCAAGTGACAAGACTTGGCAATTGATTTAAAAAATTAAACATCCCATAAATTAAAAGGATTTCCTCATGTCAGTTCAAAATTTGCTTTTACTTAATTTCTAATTCTCTCCCCAGTGGACTCTACGGTAGGACTTAAGTCTGAAATATCAGACTTTGGCCACCCTACGTACTCCTTTCAGGTCTGAGAGGCCCTCAGTAAAGTCTCCCTGTAGATCTCAGCAACTGAACGTAAACAGGGTTTAAAGTCGTTTAAAACGTTCACCATAACTCATGTCCCGAGAAACTATTTTGGAGTGCACAGCACATGTAAGCATATTCATTCATTTCAAAAAGGATGAATTCACTTGCAAATGTGCAGTACTCCAGCTCACGATAGCTCTGGGAAGAGGCAGACACCAAATGATTAACAGCACTGAGAATCCAGCGCTGTTACATGTTAAGACTATTCTAGAATTCGAGATTCCGGCTCTCCTCTTAACTGCTGTAGATAAGCAACGACTGCATTGATCAAAGGGATGGAACATTCACATACATACTTTTTACATATACACAATATATAATTCACCATATAATATTGATATATAAAATAAAAAATCACTTCAATATATTAAATATATAATCCGGTGTATCAAAAGTTCAATGGGGGATAGGAACAAAATGCATTACTGTATGTAAAAGCATACCAATCAGGACAGATCAGACACCAACTCACTTTTTAATCCTGAATATTAAAAACATCTGACAAAAATTCAGGTGTCTCCTCACTAAGTATTCAAATCATGTACACCTGTGAATTGGGTGTTATAAACTTTTCCCAATTCACAAAATCCAGGCCAATAACAAACAACAACCAAAAATCAGGTTCCAGAACTAACAGACTGATGAATCAGTCTACTATTAAAAAGGGCCCACTTTACTCCACTCTTCACAAGAAGCATGCTTTGGGAATTATTCTTATAGTCCTTGACATTGGTTCTGCACAAAAAAGGAAGAGCTTTTTCTTCAGATGATTGGTTTATGTCTCAAAACTTCAGAAGTTTAAAGGAGGGAGTAGAACAGCTCAAGATGTCTCACAGATGTAACTTCCTAGGATTTTACCAGGTTCTTGAGAATAAATTTAAATTGTTATAGATTAGGTGATAACTAGCCTTAAGTGTGCTTAAATAATGTGAGACGAAATAACAAAAATGTTCAGAATGTGAGCCCGAGCTTTTTGCTAGGCACTTCCAACACACTCCTGGACAATGCCCGTCTGCCAATAATCCCAGCCCCCAGTGTCCTGGACTAATGAGCCAACTTCCTGTCAGAAATACGCTGTGCAACTCCACAGACTGCAATGTCACTCTGATTTACTGCTCCAGTGAGTCAAGGCTATTAATGACCTCATCAGCAACAGACTGCTTTGGACACCTGAAAAGTAAACCATTACTTACCAAATCAAGGACGTTACTTTAGTGACTATGCTCTCAAAATAGAAAATTATTTTGGCTGATTCACAGGCATCTACATTAACCCATCATCAGCTACTGTACCATTATAACTTTGGAAAACTTAACACTAGTCAGGAACCTTTCTCTTTGGACTAAGCTAAACAAAATTATAAAATATCTAGATTTAAAATAGCTACAAACAGCAATGACCTGGGGCCAAGCATACATACATTGATAAAGAATATACACATTTCAAGATGTATTCCATAGTATTTACTGTACAACCCTATTCACAATAAGGCATTATAATTCTTTATTGCATTTAATCTTCAAAAGAGATCAGAGGCGCCTGGCCAGAACCCTTTTGTGATAAAACATACAGTATGGTTTCCTATATATTGCGTAGTTTTGTCTTTGATCTTATGGAGAGTTCAAAGGTCATGGTCAATGACATTCCAAACAGCTGACTTCAGTTGTGCACACATGAGATATTTGGCTTGACTGCTATACAAACATTTTCAAAACTACAGCTTCTATCACAGATAGATCCATACTGCAAATCATACCATTAATTATGTTATTTAAGAAAAATGTATAAGGGTAGTCTGTAGCTCAAGTTCTAAACTACTGCTACCTGAGTTTTTAAATGTATTATTAACGCAAATACTAGACACTTCCGGTATGATCACCAAAACGTGTAGCCAACATGTTTGTCATTGCTGCAACAAAGTCTGATGGGACTCCAGACACTTGTGAACATGTGACGTTTTGACAGTTTGTATCCTGAAGACATTTTGAAGTCTTGATGGAAAACAAAACTAAGGCTGAACTGTGTTGCTTGGCTCATGAATAATAAAGATACGAGTTTTAACACTGCGGTATGATCTGAGAAGAGACAAACTCCACTCCTTCTCTCAACAGAAAAAAAAAACCCTTTCTCCTGATAGCGGAGTCCAATATCCCTTCTGGACAGTCACCCTTTTTCCCATCTGCTGAAGGGACAGCCATCAAAGGGAACAGTCAATAAGAATTAATAACCCAGAAAAAAGCACATATATATCTCTGCTAAGAGGCACCATGTCACAAAGCACTGGTGTGTGACCCCAGACACTCTGCAGGAACTCCTTAGGAGCCAAACTGAAGGATCTGAGCTGGCATCTCACACTTCACAATCCTTGGAGACAGGAGACTCTGCTTGTTTTTCGTTATCAGTAACCCACAACAGAGACAAACAATTTTACAAAGGTGGATGTGAGAGTTATATAGCAGGAAAGCCCCAAACCCATTGTTATTTCAGCTACATCACCCAAGCTAAAGTACAATATTGTCATTTCTCTGCTACACAATGAAAACATTGCTGAATTCCTTGAAGCACATGATCATTCACCCAAATAATGTTTTAAAGGGACTAATTAAATTATTCAAAACACAGAATACAAATAATGAGCTACAGGGCTGGTCCCCTTAATACTTTAACTGACACGAGGCACAATTTAATGTTTTGACAAGTCAGGAAGTCTCAGATGCTAACATCTCATCTGACAGAACATTACTTTGTTCCAAGAGACTCAAAGTTTTAAATACTCATACAGATTGGCGTTGTAGTCCCAATGGAGTACACTGTGTGACCTCACAGCTACAAACCACACAACTATTAGTTGCGGATTGGCGTTCAAAACAATTTACAGAGCTTTACATAAACATACAAAACGGCCCGTCTGCCCTTTCGCCTTAGAAGAGTGATTCTACATGCCATTTGTATCAATGCCAGGCCTACAGTATATAAAGCATGTATGTGCTTTATAGCTTTTTGCGTTTCTTTCTTGTCTCCAGTCCGATGTTTGCCAGCTCATTGAAAGGCACCCTTCAGATCTCCCTGACACATGACAGACAGGCCTGGAAATCCGACACTGCAGGTTTCAAATGCTCGCCAGGGATCACCTTAAAATGGCAAATTGTTTGCTGGGAGTACAGAACCTTTTCCCCCTCCTCCGTCCAGCTCTTTTTCCCAGTCCCACCCGCCGTGTCTGAGGTACAGAGGGGTCCCGGGAAGAGGGGACAGGGAGCTCAGCCTAGGAGATCAAACAGCAAGTCCTGCTCTCCACTCCCAGCTTGCCCTGGGTTGGGTCTTCCTAAGCCCGACCAGCCAGTGCCAGTAAAGAACTTGTTTTCTCCTGGACACTCTTACTTTTTCACCTCTCTGTAGAGAGGGACAGGGGGTCACTGGGAATATGTCACAACCCGTTTCTCTTCACCTCCTGCTGGTTTTATTCATCTCACTTAGCCATTTGCTGCCCTGAGCAAAGAACTGGAACATTAACTTGGGGAAATTCTAACTCTGCAATGAAAGGGGTGGAATGACCAAAAGTGAAAGAATCCAAATAGTCAAACTGACTGTATTTAAAGTTAAAAAAGTGCATAAAGGCATGCATATAGAAAAACCTGTGAGATCCCTAGGGCCCTTAATAAACAATCGGTTTTCCACTGCTGTCACCATTATCTTCTGCAGAGAATGACATGCGTTACCGATTCTATTATCCTCCCATTACTGTCCAGACGAAGCCCTGGGATCAATTAGCTACTAGGAACTGGACAACTGCTGATGAGCCAAATGGCAGCCTCTTGCTGTCTTCTAACCACTTCTACACCCCGCACTGTGCTGCTCAGCATTTTTGAACAGCAATAACGAAGATTTAGTAAGGCCATTCATTTCCAAAGTGTTAACTCTGTGGCTTTGTACCATAACAGTGAGTGGTAAAAAAATAATTCTCTCTGGGTTGTCATCATAAACGATAACAATGAAAGTTAAAATATTTCCCCCCGTCCAGCATGATTTTCTTTGTACCTCAACCGCGCTGCCAAAGAAATAAAAAAAAGAAAAAGAACTGGAATCCCATCGGCTGTACCTGCACGAACAGCACTGACATTCTGTTCCCAACCCTCCAGCTGCTTTGTAACACTGGAGTTCTGCAATGCTTTTAATTGCCCTGAGAAACGCATTGCCACCACATGTGAATTACAGTAATCCCTGCCACATTAAACTCTCAGCAACAGCACTGGCCTATACCTTCAATACTAAAAAAACAAAATACAAAAACAGCTTTTATTTTTATGGAGGGGAAGTGTATTTAAAAAGACTTTCTAATCCCAAAGGGAGTCCAAACGGCTATAAATCACAGAGTGATGAAAGTTTCCTTTCCAACCAAAGGAGGCAAAAAAAGAAAACTCTCCTGCTTGAAACGAAGGTGCCGCCTCCTCAGCCAGCATTCGAGAATTTTACGGGCAAACCCTGCTCCACCAGAAGAGAGGCTGACCTGGGACAGGTTTGAGCTATCACTTCCACTTCTGGGTATTTCGGAGAACTACTGAGACAGATGAAAATAAACTTCACTCTATTTCAGCTTTCGATTTCTTTTTATCTTATCGACTAGTTACATACGTATAAGCAATACATACCATGAGGAAAAAAAGTGTCAGGTACAAGCACTGATATCTTATATACACAATAATAACTCACTTACTGATGGAAAGTACTACAAGAGATAAATGCTCTGCAGACATACATATTAGATATTCTAAATTGTTTTAGGTGAAAAGTAAATGCTGTTGCTGCTTAATTACCAATGCACAGTTTAATAGACTTAAATAATTATGAGTAACCTGGTTTCAGACACGAAGTGCCAATGATACAAGTACAATTTTGAAAAGTGATTGTTTCTGTTGTGACTCTGTATGTTAATGTGGTACATATTTAAGTCCTTCTTCTGTCTGATTTACAAAACACACTGCATCTCAACACGCAATCTGTAAAAAGTTCATAGTGTAGTGTTGACCACTTATCTTTCAGCAGCTGTTAACATTCAGATAAGAACTTTATTGCACAAATTCATACTGGCATGGATTGTACAAATGTTGAAAAATGGCACCCCTCATGACTGTGCTGCTGTAACAGTGCTTTTTTGAAGTGGCCAAAAGACAAAAGGTCACTGCACAGTGAAAAGCAGTCACAAGTGGGGTTTTGTTCTGCAACAAAGACACGATGTACAGGAATCAAACGAGATTGTTCAGGCAGCCACAGATCTGAATGGCATTTTATTTTATTTTTTTAGGGAAAACATGTCTCCCCACAGGACAGGACCCGTAAAAAGATAACGCAAGAGTTAAGGCTGTACTTAGTATCTCTGTGGTTTGGGAGCACAACAGGCTCGGCAACACATGTGGAGTGATATTCTCTGTGGGAAGTCAGATCAAATCAAGACAGAAATGCCTTCCCCAGCTGGACAGTCAAGACTGAGTTGTGTGCGCCCTCTTCTGTGCATTTTAAAGCATTACAGTCCTTAAAGTGCTCTCTCCTCAACACCTGCACATTCAACACTTGTAGTATTTTAGAATGTAGATAAAATAGCTTGTCATGGATTAATGCGAGCATGTGTGGAATGATTCAGAAAGGAAAAATCATCTAACTCCTAAAAAAAAAAATTGTCACCTACAAAACAAGCAAACCTGTGCTGTTATCTTTCCTTTTGGCGTGTCAAGATTTTTTCAGATTTATAGAATTAAAACTGAACAGAGATCCCGATGCTGGGGTCAGCCTTTAGGATGGTAACTATTTAAGAAACATGCAAATAAGAAAACAGTTAAATATCAGAATGTTAGAAACCTTTTTTCAGCACAGCCTTGACAATAGTCCATGGTATGAATTTAGCAAATGCCTCCTCTAGAGCTGATCACACTAACCGAATAAGCCTGTTAGGACTCACTGAGAACAATGATATTTATACCTTTGAATGCAATCTGTGCAACCTCCTCCCTAACACAGCACAACTACATACATACAGTATCACTGCCCTGGCCTAAGCTGGGCCCAGTTGAGGTAGGAAGCTGATGTAAGAGGACAGCTCCTCAGAGTTGAACCAGATGTGCTTGTGCGTGGAATGATGTTTAATAGCTATACAACACCCTATTACTCCAGCAGAAGATAGGCTTTTACAAGGAGTTAGACGGAAACATGGCACCTAATCATCTCACTGGGATTGGAGAAAGTCTTCTTTAACCCTCTCACCCTGTAAAAGACTACAGCCCTTCGTCTAAAAACTGGACAGATCATCATCCATTAGGGAGCTGTTAAAACATCATTGGCCATTTTGGTTCTGCCAGGTTGCTGGTACACATTTTAAAAACGTAATAAGGTGGAATGTGCATATCCCTAACCTGTGACATACTGTAGGTTGTCAGGACTATGAGTAAAGAGAGCTCAGAGATTCTTATTTCCTACTGTCAAGTGTCAATTATTTAAAAGTAATGTCCTGAGTAACTTTCATTTAATCAGGCAAGACATCTCAGCTTGTAAACTTGCGCAATGATCGCTATATAAACATTCACATAAAAATGCATCGGTGATTCTTAAATGACATCTCTGGTTCATACAGAGTCGTATTTTATTCTACCCAGACACCTTTTTATTGTTTCCCAAATTAATTTTATTAAATCTTTTTACAGCATTGGGATATTAGCAATTCCCAGTTTTTTTTTTATTGTGCTCCCTTCATTTAGCTCAGTTTCCCCCCCCCGATACGCGGAACACTAGTTGTCATGCTACACCTTCTATAAAACACAGTTTAATGTTTATACAACTCTACAGAGACCCCTTAGCAAGCATTAAGCATACTTTCAATGACAAACATGCTGACATGAACCCTTTCCCCTAGTCACACAGCATTGTAGTTAACAGAGGTTTGTCTAAATATGGGAAGCATATCATCCTGAATAAACCTTTAGACATCCAACGGAAACTGATAAGAATAAAATGTTCTGAGAGTGGCTAAGTGTTTTGGACTTCAAGAACGAAACAGTTCTGTTTGGGCTAAAGACTAGTTGTTTGAAATATCTGTTTGTTAAGTTTAATTCAGAAACAGTCCTGCTGTGACATGGGGAATGAAAACCATCTTGAATTCTTGAAGGGTTTCTGAGAGGCTTTACTTGTTGTTTATTGTAACTTGATTAAGCTAACTGACTGAAAAGGAAACAGTGAGGTAAACTGGCCCACCATTCGCAACACGGATACGATGGCCTTGAAGGGTCCAGTCTAAAACAGTCAAACATTCTCTGCCTAGATTCACGACAGAGATTAAAACAGAATTAAAACTTAAAACATGTTTGCTTTCCCCAGGAAAGCCTTTCACAGAGTGACCCTATGCAGTGTCCTAAACACTGGCAGGTACTGAAGTCCAATGATGCCATGACATGGTATGCCTTGAATTAGCCATGGGTTCAGGCACTGAGATCCCAACTGATAGGCAAAGAAAATGTATTTCCAAACCTTTAAAAACCCTTGACCAATTTTGAAGTGAATGAAGTTTTGATTTCAATTCAAACAGTAATACACACCCAGAAGTAAACTTTGTTAATAAACAGATTGGGATTAACGATTAATAAAGCAACTAAACCAAAAGGAATTTAGACCTAGTTGTGTTTTAGCCAAGTAGATGTTTTGGAAAAACACATGAAGGTCAAAGTCTTCTTGTCTGAATACATTTTGGAGCTAGGCAGTGGTTATTTGAGATATTGAAGTAGATTGAAGTTGAAGTCGAACATCTCTAGAGAGAAACAGACAAGAAATCAAAAGGACTGGCCCTGGGTACTGGGCAGAGGTTTATAACCTCTTCTGGCTTGGAATCATCAAGAAATCACTCTCTCTAAGAATCCTCAATTGAACCATAAAGTCAAATTCAGTTCTACGGACATTATAAATAATGCTACTATCAATAAAATAATTACAAGCAGAACTGCAGGTATATTTCAAGCACTATTAGGGTAGATCCATTCCTGGAGATTGTTGAATTTACAGATTATTTGTCATGAATTACCTAATTATCTTTGCATCTGGAGATTGCTGATCTCACAGGAATACCAAGGGCTAAGTTGTGATCCAACTCTCAGTCAATAATAAACCTACCTGTCTCTGCATTTCCTCCACCTGTCTGTGAGGGATGCTCTTTAGAATGGTGTACATCTCAGGCAGTTTGTCTTCTGGAATGACCACTGATGCTCTAAACAAGAAACACACAATAGTCAGACCTGCATCAGAACCAGTATTCTGTGTTACCAGTTAATTAATGACTTTCAGAATATTCAGCACAGGAAAAAAGGGGTACAGTATAAAAAAAAGCACTAAGAAAAAACAAACAACTATATAAAATAGAAAAAAAAGACTCTCACTGCACAGCATTTCACACCTGATCTTATCTTATAGTTTTAACTTCATGTCCATCTAAGCAAATTTGTACAAAGCTAATCAGGGCCTATAACTGGTTTATGAGAATATCTGGCTGGGCTTGCTAAACATCACTCTTTGAATACTCAAAGAGTATTGCATGTTAAAACAGTTAAAAGTCTTGGAAACACAGAAGCATTCTGAAGATCAGACCTTGAGGGTTGAATGTTCAGGCCGACATTTTGCTATAAATCAAAACGTTCTTAACAGTTGTCTGCAGGTCATGAAATCTGTCAATAATGGCCACGTGCAATCATTTTGGGACCTTATCAAATCAAAACTGAACCAGATGCTTTGCTTACAGAGAAATACGTTACAGTTATTAATCATATAGTTCTAACAGAATACCTTTTTACTCCGACATCACCAATGACTTCATTTGAACATTTTGCATTAAGTCATCTTCAGAACTGCTGGTGGTCTTCGCTTTAACTCAATATCAACTTTTACAAAACATCTCCAGATGGCACGCAGACCACTCTCTGCCCAGAGAATGGCCTCTCACTGTCTCAGCTCCTCTGTGGCAGGCACTGTGTCTCTGTGATGATAAGGGGGTGCAGTATACCTCTTCCAGTCTAGGACCTCTGAGAAGGGCAGAATGTAGGAGTCTGCAATGATGACAGGGACACAGCCAGCCTGCAAGACGTCACTGAGCGCAGCCTGTCCAAGCCGAGCTCCCCGGAGCACCACACAGAACGAGGACTCCTGGCCCAGAGCAGAACGAGAGCAAGGTGAAAGTTTAGGTCTGTGAGGAACTAAAAGAACATCCTATAATTATCTGAAATCATCCATTTCTAACCCACAGGGCCTCAAATCAAAATGAAACAAAAGCAGTTTCAGTCTCCTACTACTTACTGGATGCCTTTAATAATAATAATAATAAT